CTAGAGGTGCCTAAGATCATATGTGGGACTCTGAGACCCAAGCTTGGCTAGTCATTCTAGACACAGGCAGGGGCTGGATCTCTACAGGGCTCTTTTCTTCCCACAGCAAGTCAGGAAAAGAGCCCCTCAGTTTGTACAGAATGAGAATCTGAGGGAAAAAAATTCAGCCAAATGACAGCAGCAGTAGAATTTCCAGATCTGAGTTCCAAGTTAGGTGTCTGAGACAGGTGTGCCTTACAAGGCTAGGCACATGGCAGGTTCTCAGCAAACATCTTCAGACCAAGTAAGACAGCTGCTTGGGAGTCATGAAGGCTTAATCATTTTAATAGGCATTCAAGACATGCTTCCTGCATGCCAAGGTGCCAAGTGCCGAAGGACAAAGACGTGAGGCATTCCTCAGCCCTCATCTCAGGAAGCCATGAGCAGGACAGAATACTGACCAAGCACTTGAAGGTACAGGCACCACCACTGGAAACACAGGGCATCAGAGCCCTCTGCCCACAAGGAAACAGGGCTCAGAAACAGCTTCCTGGAGTGTCTGCCTCAGCTGGGTCCTGAAGGGTGAGGAAGCCTTAGCCCCAGGCAGCGGCACAGAAAACATGAGCAAAGGACAAAGCCACCAAGCACAGAGATCCTTCTGAGTCTAGGTACTGTCTGGAACGAGGGCATAGGCCAGTGAGTATCTTTATGGTTCAGATCAAAAGGCAGTCGAAGGGTGGAGAATGACTCAGTTGGTAAAGTGCTTGTTATTGAAGCATGAGGATGTAAGTGTCCAACCCCCTAAAATCCACCACATACAAGGCTGGATGTAGCAGGTACATACCTATAATACCAACACTGGGGAGGTAGAGAGAGGGGGTCAGTGGGGCTCACTGGCCAGTTTAGCTGAATTGGCAAGCCCCAGGTCCCCGTGAAAGAGACTATCTCAAAAGATAAGGTGGAGAGCAATTGAGTGAGACATCAAATGTCGACCTCTGGCCTCCACACACAGGAACTCACATACACATATACACACACACCCACAAAGGGGGAAAACAAAGACATTTATAGTCCAGTTCACAGGTTCCAAGAAGCCTAAAAGCCTGGGATTTACTGAGCTGCTAACAAAGGAATGTGTCCTTGTGTGTTGTGCTAGGAAAGGCTGAAGGAACCCAGGAAGAGAGAAAAATACTCCAGGGCAGGAATATGTCCCATAACTCAATTCTTCTAAGAGTCCACAAGCTTCCAAGACAGGAATGCATGAAGGGCTTTGCTGGGAAAGATGGAAGGTAGCTAAAGAGCAGGAACAAAGTGATTCTAGGCCAGGCTGGTGAAGGGAAGGGCAGCCTTCGGTGAGACCCAGACAATGAGTTACACTTAGAACAGCAAACCAGTTTTTATTCATAATAGACTCACCAGAGTCTCTGAGAGTGGGTAGAAACCAATTAAACTGTTTAACAAGCTGGAAGACAGTCATGTACCTATGATCCCAGCACTCAGGAGGCTGACACAGGAGGATCATGAGTTTGAGATCAGCCTAGGCTACACAGTGAGAGCCTGTTTCAAAAAATCAAAACCAAATTTGGAGATAGAGTTTAGTGGTTAGAACACTTGCCTACCACTAGGCAGAAGTCCTAGGTTCAGTTCCTAGTACCACAAAACAAACAGGTGAAAAATCAGGCAGGACAGAGTTTCAGACACAGTATGGTGGTCCGTCACTTGCAGGAAAACATGCCAGGCTGGAGGGGACAGACCAGCTTGCACAGCCCATGGACAGGTGCTCTGAGGCTGTGGCAGGCAGGGGCTCCTGTGACAGAACCAGTTTTCCCTTACCCATGTGGCCTCCACAGTGTGGAAGAAAGACTATGGAGTGGACACCACATGCTTGCCTTGCTCAGTTCTGCCCTAAGTCCTGCCTGCCTCTAAGGCTGACCACACAGAAGCTGGAGGCCTGGGAGGAAGGCAAGGCATGCTCTACCTGTGAGTCCTAACTGTGAGAATACACTGAGAGGTCCAACCCATGGAGGAAAGTGGGATCTTTTGAGATAAGTAGCACCCAGTCTAGAGGTTCCCCAAAAGGCAGACAGGAAAAGTCCCTGGAAGGCAACAAGGCCAGGGAAGGCTGTACCTTTGGCCTTCAGCACCCCCTTTTACTCCAGAGAAAACCTGGTCTCTGACAGAAACGCAAAGCTCATCCCTTACTCTACGCCACCTACAAAGCAGCAGGCTACAAACCAGTCTTCTCCCTTATTTAGTGACTTAAGGACATAGTATCAGGAGTCTGTATGTACAGCCCACTCACTCCCCAGCTTAAACGCCACACAGGAACGTTTCCCACTCTCGAGCCCCATGGACACTCTTTGGCTCCAGATCAGAAGACACTTTACCCACTGCCTGGCACCTCTCCAAACTCAAAGCCTGAGTCCTTCCCAAGCCTGTCTCTTTCTGTACTCCATGCATGTGGCCTCTGGCTGCCAGTCACCCCCAATAGCCCCCTTCCGCCCTGGTTCCTGCCACCCTGGCCGCTGCTTGTCTCAGTCCTGCCCTTCTGTTTTATGACTGTCTGATGGTACCTCAACAGTCCCCACACTCACTCAGCACAGTGGCCCCTTCAGCTTTAGAACACATTCATCTGACCAAGTCCCTCATAAGCCACACTCTCTCAGAAGCTTCCAAATCTCACTCAACACTGTGTCCACAGCTTGCTCGTGCACATACACACATACACACACACACACACACACACACACACACACACACACACACACACACACACAGAGCATTTTCTTTCTTTTTTCCCTTTAGCACTGGGGATTTAGCCTCGGGCCTTGTGCACTCTAGATAAGAATCCTATTACCGAGCGTGTTTCCAGCCCTTTCTGTCGTTGTTTTGAAACACAGTCCTGCTCTGCAGCCCAGGCTGGCCTAAAATTTGGTCCTTTTGCCTCAGTCTCCCTACTGAGATTATAATTGCATGCAACCACACCCAGCTCATTCCCACCCCACCCCCAGGTCCTGGGCATTGAACACAGGGCCTCACATATACTCGGTAAGCACTGTTGAAGTATGAATTCAATAAACACATGTTGAAAGGGTAGTGAAAATTCCCATATAATGAAATTCAGGCTTGTTCTCAGTAAAAGGCCTGAGGGCTTTTTAAAAAACTATTATCTGCATTTAGAAGGTGATGGCTGCAAACAGCCACTGAACCAGCTGTTTGTAAAGGTTTTTTTTTCTTCTATTTAGAGTTGTCAAAACAGAAAAGGTATGCTCAAACAGGTAAAACATTGAACGGGGCAAATGTTAACTGTTTTTTACAACCCATTTCATCATCCTGTGTACTTTAAACTAGAAACCATGCAAAGGCAAACACTTTACTATGTCTCCTGAGGTTGGCTCAGTCTCTAATAAGGATTAGGAGCAACACTGTGTACCCAAGGTCACTGAGACTTGCTGGACAGTCCTGGCAGGTGTGGTTAGTCAGAGCTAGTAAGGTACACATGCAGGTGAACTTGCAGTCCCAGGGAGGTGAATTTGATTGTTGTTATGAAAACCCTGGCTAGATCACTAGATTACTTCTGTAACCCGAAAGGTCACCCTTAATCCAGTTGAAAGCCATTACATGGCTAGTTCACTAGTTGACATCTATCACTCAGAAAATGGTATCTTTATTCCCTCCAACAACCACTTAAGAGAGAGCCTGGCCCACTGAATGCCAGACCATGGGGGAGCCACAAGTGGAACCAATGTGGCCTATTCACATAAAGACCAGATTCTAAATACACCTGTCACTACTCAGTACATCCCATAAAGTCTTTATCTGAGTGCCGAGGAGATTAGGTGAGGATTAATCCTCAGAATTAAAGGAAGTACTTGTAGGGGTCACAGCACTCAATAGGAATGGTCACTATCAAATATCTGAAATGTCTTGATCACTTGTCGTCTGGGTTGATCCTGACACCAACCTAGGCTACACAGAATTCACAGCAGCAGAGCGAGAGCTTGAGAGAGCATGAGCACACTCATTTCTACAACTCAGTGAACATTTACAGGTGCCTATGGTGGCGGGGGGGGGGGGGGGGGTGTAAAAATGAGAATGGAGTCCTTGACCCCAAGTAGATGAAATGGCAAAGGTGTCAAATTATGGAGCAGCTGTACAAATTATCTGGAAGTCACCTGCTGGTCTTCCAGCAGAACACGGTGAAATGAAGAAAATCATTTTGAGCCTCTACCCACTTTGGAAAGACGGTAACGCCACTGCCATGAAAGCCAACCTATACCTGCATATGAGCCAGTTGGTTTAGGCAACCTTTGGCGCTTAAAGTGAGCTCAGTGAGCCTTAATCCAAGACCTGAGCACAACTGTTTCTGAACTGAGCCAGGCTTGTCGAGGAAAACTGTGGCCAGGCCGCCAGCATCCCTGACAGACTGACTTCTGTCATGTGGAGCCCACCCCATATGGTACCAGCTCTGCCCTCCGGCTACATTATTCAAGACTCCAGAAGCCCAGGGCCAAGCTAGCACAGGTGACCCGGACAGGTCAGGGACACTAGCTGGATAGGGCTCTCTGGCTGGGAAAGTACCTTAGCGCCAGGTGGGCAGCTGTGTCATCTTTGGCAAGTGAAGGGCTCGAACTGTTGCAGGTCCCCGAGGGCAAAGGTAAATGAACACGGCTGCAATTTTGAGCAAAGACAGAAAGAGGATTTCCTATTCCGCAGAGACGGAAAGTGCCCCAAGGGAAGGTTGACACACAGGCAGTTCTTTCCCACGACAAAAGCCGAGAGGAGGCAGCGACGACCGAAGAAGGCCCGGCCTGCCCAAAGGGATCTGACACCCGGGCCCGCGTCACGCACCAGCCTCCGGAGCACTAGCCTCCGGAGCCCCCTAACCTGCTGCGACCAAGACACCAAACACCGCCCGTGTCCTCCTCTCTCAGTATGTCCGTGCCGCCGGTCAGCGCACGGTGGCAGCGACACCCCCCCACACCCCGCATCCGGCCGCCACGCCCCTGCCGCGCACCCACCTCGGCGCCCCGCACCGCACCGCTCCCTCCAGCTCTGCGCTGGACCGCGCTGGCCTTTCTGCGCACGCGCGTAGGCGGCCCCGCCCCACAAGCACGCGCTTGCGGGCTGCCCACCCCGAGCGCCCCGCGTCTCAGCGCTGCCGGCTCTGGGCATGCGCGCTCGCGCCGGGCGGCCGCCCAGTCGGAAGCATGGGCTAGCCAAACAGCGGTTCCCGCGCTCGGGGGCGGGGGCTCGCCTAAAGACGTGCGGGCTCTAGCGCCTGGTGTAAGGCAAAGTCGTGGTCATCTGGAACCCCGATGGCTGCCCGTGGAAGTCGCCATCTGACCCGGTTACGTGTGGACCCGAACTGCCCGTTCGTGACGTCCAGTCTTGAGCGGGTAGAACGTAGGGCTCCTAGCTAGGGGCGGGACCTGTGCCAAGGAGCTTAGAGGCCAAGACTAGGAAATGATGCAGAGAGTGACAACTGGATGGACCCCAGAGATGGGGACAACGGGACAAGAAAGAGGTGGGAAACAGGCAGAGATGCAGCTGCGGATGGGGCCACAAATACGCGACCGGCTGAGGCAGGCTAGAATGGACATGGGGACAAGATCCACGGTGTTGGACAGAGGCAGCCATCCTTATACGGGAGGAGCCCACAGTACTCTTTGCAGATCCTGGTTGGAGGCGGAGAAGTCGCTGTCGTGGCTGTGCGGTTGGACCACGACCCCCACGGCGGTGTACAGGGAGTCGATGGTGGCAACAGTGACTTTGGGGAGGTCGGAGGACTCTAAGGTATCACAGCATCGGAGAGTTAATGAATCAGTGACCCGTGGGATGTGCTCAAACCCCAGAAGGGTCCTAGCATCCCCTGGGAGTGGGGCGGTTCACAACCATTAAGAGATGTTGGATATCAGGATACCCCTTGTAGTAGGCAGCCAGGGTGATGAGATCAGGGTCCTCTGAGGGTGACGACTACCCTCGGAGCCTCCAGGTAGCTCTTAGGGGCCTTCACACTCCTCTGTTGTTGGGGGTGGGGTGTCGCCAAAGAAGTTAAAAGCAAGGATGGGGAGGAAGGGGGAAATTAGATGGCGACGCACGTGACACTTCCAGCAGGCTAAGGCACTGTTGAACACGCCCAGTGATAAGAGCAGTGCCCGCCCAGTCCACGCCCAGCTCGCAGGTTCATGCGGTCCCGCAGCGCCCCCGCCGCTCGCGCCTCTGCAGCCGCCGCAGGCGCCGAGTCCAGGCGTCTCTCCAAGGCAGCACGAGGCTCCCACGGGCAGCGCTGAGCCCGGGTCCCCGGCCCGCTGTGCTTCCAGCTGCAGCCCCGGGCCCGCCCCCCAGCAGCAAGTAACGCCGGCCGGGTAGGAGGCGCGGGCAACCGCAGGCCGCGTCTAGGGTTGGTACCCACAGCGCGTTGCTCCCGCGCCGAGCGCGCTCCTCGCCGCTGCGGAACACAGCAAGCACTGCTACCGGAAAGCGTGTCCACGCGCCGCGGGCCTCGCCCCGCGCACCCACTGACACCTGCACCGCTGCGGGGGAGGGAGGGTGTGAGAAAGCGATCGGGCCAGGAGGGGCAGGACCAGAAGGGGCTGTGTGGAGAAGCACAGAGCGCCCACCCGGCTTAGGAAGGACATAAAGAGGCCACCCACTAGAGGGAGGTACATTGAGGACCTAGCTGCTAAATGGGCGGAGCCAGCATCAGTAGGAAACCCCAGGAGAGGATGAGGCTTGAAGTACAGCCAAGGTCAAGGTATTCAAAGGAGTTGGGGGTGAGATGGAAGGGCTGGGGTGAGGCAGCCTACCATAGTCCTTCCGACAGAATTTCTTCAGGCTGATTCGGTAGTTGCCACGCGCAGGTCTGCAATGTGACTCACAGTCTAGGGGGAAAGAGTGGAGGCTAGCAGAGTCCCATGCCTCTCCCCCACACTGGTCTGTTTTAGCTATAGCCCCCTTCTCCAGGGTCATACCAGTCTGAGACTCCGGTGTCCACTCACCCCGTGGCTCCACAGGACTGCTTTCTTCAGTGGGTCCAGGGACAGGGGTCTCTAAGGAGTGTGGGAGAATAGTCTATGATGGGGAGGCAGGGTTATCTGAAGGGCTCAGGGGACAGACAGACAACAGTAGTAGCTGATGTCTTTGGCTGAGGTGACTGAGACAGGGCAGGGTCACTACTCACTAACACAGGGTGCCACAGGAGAACGGCTCTGCTGAAAGCCTGGGGCACAGCGGTTACAGGTGAGGCCAGTAACACCATCCTTACAGGGACACTGGCCTGTGGTCTGGTTACAGGTTTTGCCAGCAGCACCAACTGGATGGCAGTCACAAGCTGAGAACAGAGCGAGGGGCTCGTTCAGAGGAGCGTCAGGGTTCTGGGGAAGTAGAACATGAAGGCATGCAGGTGTAGGCTCACCTCTGCAAGCACGGCGGTCACTCAGGACCCGGCCTGGGTCACGATAGAAGCCCTCCCGGCAGTAGTGGCAGTGGCGACCAGCAGTATTGTGCCGGCAATTGAGGCACACCCCCCCACTGCGGCGGCCCGACAGTCGGTACAGCTCCATGTTGAAGCGGCATCTTCGGGCATGGCCATTGCAGGAGCAAGCTGCAGGGAGGGATCAGTCAGGGGCAGCCCTGCCTGGTCAGAAGCCCCCAGGCTACCCTCCAAGGCCTCACCAAGGCAAGCGTGGGCTTCCTGCCCTGTAGCCCGCTGCCATGGCCTGTCGCAGTAGAAGGGCTTGCAGCGGCTGCAATCGGGGCCCTCTGTACCATGCTGGCAGTCGCAGATCAGTTGGCCATGGCTATCCAACAGACACCGTGAGGCATGCCCATTGCACTTGCATCGACCTCCCACCTGGAGCTCAGTGGCTGAGTAGGAGTAAGGGACTGTGACTTCCCGGTCCCTCATGTCCCCCAGTGTGGCAGGCCTTGTGAGTAATATGCGAATATCGGTGGCAGTCACCCAGTCTTGGAGCACAGGACTGTTGTCCAGATCCAGGCCTTGTGGGCTACCATCCTGCACACTGAAGGCCAGAAGGCCTCCACCATCAGACTGGGCCTGGGGGGCTGGGAAGCAGAGGGCTTCTGGCCCTGGACCAGCAGGGCCATCAGCAGGAGCAGGCGGACGGCCATAGTCCAGGCTACAGCTGGAGGAGAAGAAGCCCAGGGGGACCCAGCTGCGGCCATGGTCCTGCGACTTAAGCAGAGCCACGGAGGTAGGGGGAGCTGAGCAGAAGCGAAGGCTCACGAAGACCAGCTCAAAAGCCTTCCCCAGGGGCACCGTGAGGGTTACGTTGAAGGGTGCCCGTTGCAGCAAATCGGAGCGCCAACAGAGAGGACTTGCAGTGCCCGGAGCAGAGGTCAGGAGGTCTGCAGAGTGTGCCCGCTGCGGGTCCGAGGAATCGCAGACTCGATTGGCCGGACTCCCGCACGTGCTGGACGCCAGCACCTCTCGGCCCAGAGCAGCGTTCACTAGGCCTGGTATACAACAGCGGGGCTCACCCGCCTCATCATAGCAGGGGTCGGCGGTGGCCGGCAGCCCTGGGCTCAGTGCAGCGGAGAGCGTGCCTGCGGTCAGCAGCAGCCCCCAGGGCCAGGTGGGCATGGCCGTGGCCGCTGTGGGTCAACCAGCCAGCTTCCGCCCCACGATTCTGCCCTCGAGGACAGAGAGCCTAGTCCGAGACTCTGCCTGCCGGGTCTGCAGTGCCAAGAAAGCAGAGCCCCCGGGCGGCCCCAGCACAGGCCCAGAAGTGGGAGCAGCCACGGGCACGCCCGGGGCCGAGCACAGCAGCAGGGATGTTGGCGAGTCCTCCTGCTAGGCCTGGAGCGTTGACAGGCGTCGCCCCCGCTCCCGGTACCTCCGCCCGCGGAGGCCCCACCCGCCGCCGGCCGCCAGCACTCACCCACGGAGGGCCAGGAGGAGCAGGTCTCCCGGCCTCCCGGGAAGGGCCCTGGGCGGGCGGGGCCTGGGGCGCCGGGGCTGCCGCCTCCTCCTGGCTGCTGCAAGGGCGGAGGAACTGTGCCAGAAGTGGGTGGGGGGCTCAGCAGGCGCGAGCCTGGTCCTAGCCGGGGGCGGAGCTGCTCGGGCCGGGAAGGAAGGAGGGGAGGGGGCCCTGTCCCGACAGCCAGAATCAGAAGCAGATTCAGACACAGGCTGGGCCAGCGCGGGAGGGGGCTGGGAGGCCCGAGAGCCGGGGGAGGGGCTGGAGAGCCAGGAATGTGCCGACGGGAGGGGGGCAGCCCAGCCTTGCAGCCCGTGAGGGACCACCCAGCAGGGTCCTCGGCCTGAAGCCAGGCTTTGGCTGCTCCTGGGATGGTGCCACGTGCTGGGCCGGGGTCTGGGCCACTCCTCCCAGAGGCCCATCATGCAGGCACCACCTTAGGTCTGAAGCTTGAAGTCTTGGATGCTACCCAGAATAGGGGAACGCAGTCGGGGCTGGCGTACTTGTAGGGTATCCCCAAGGCAGTAAGTAGTCTGTTCTAGCAGAAAGAAACGCAAGTCTGACTTTAAATCCATGTTGTTTGGATTTTTGGCTGTGAGGCCTGAGTTTCTCAGTTTCCTCATCAACCAAAATGCCTATTGTTCGCCTGGCTTGGTGGAGTTGCTGGGATGATTTGATGAGCCAACATAGAAACCATCCTAAACTAGCAGGTCCCACTGGGGAGCACCCGGGTTCTGCTAAGTGCTGAGGTCACTGTTCCTCAGTGGGATCAGGCCAGTCTCTTAACCTAAAGCATTCCCAGGTCTCAGTGAATAGTTGTGTCATACAATGACCCCACTGTGCAGAAGGACTTGAAAGTTTGGAAAGTGGGCAGAGAGTACAGCCTATTTGATGGCCCCTTGAGGTTCAGGGTCCGGCCACCTGTTGAGGTCCCCCATGGAAAGGTAAGGAGAAGGGCTGGTCACAAATAAACCAGTCAGAATCCCTGATCCTGACAGTCTACATCCTAGCAAATTTGGATGAGGAAACAGGCCTATGCCCCAGATGAGTTACCAGGGCACAAGCTGGAGAGGAGCAGTTACAGCTGCGAGGTTCTTGCCAAGAGGAACCAGAGATTCTTTTCTTTACTGCCTTTGTCCTTGACAGACCAGGCAGAGCTGGGGTTGACTCCACGAAGAGTGGGCAGGAATAGGGTCCCATCTCGGGGGCAGTCCTGACGCCCAAAGACCTAGTTTCAGAAGGGAGGCTGACCACAGGCCAGTCTCTGCAAGTGGTAGACGAGGCCATATGGGGGATGCCTGTGTACTCAGAGCTACCATCGTGGACCGAGTGTTCCTGACAAGAGAAAAGGAGAGAAACAGAAGCACTCTGCTTTTCAGGAAAGGAACAGTGCAGCAAGGATGCTGGAGCCCTCCCAAGACAAACCAAGGTTGCAGCCAAGGTAGACACTTGAAGAAGCAGGAGGACAGTTTGAGGGACATGTGGTTCACCCTGTAGAACAACTGACTCGGACCCTAGGCAGTCCCCCAGGCCTGCTGTCCACGCATGCAGGAATGGGTAATGGAGGAACAGACATTCGAGAGGGGCTAAAGTTCAGAATTAGCCCTTTCCTACCACCTTCTCCTAGACCAGTGGTTCTCAACCTTCCTAATGCTGTGACCCTTTAATACAGTTCCTCATGTTGTGGTGACTTGCAACCATAAAATTATTTTCATTACTACTTCATAACTAATTTTGCTACTGTTATGAATTTCAATGTAAATAAAATGTAAACAAAATAAAAATGTTTTCCCTTTTGGTCTTAGGTGACCCCTTGAAATGGGGGTCTGTTCTAGGTCCTTCTACACTCCCTCCCCCTAGGGATGGGAGGAGCCCTGGTGGGGGATGGGAGAAATGGAGAGTAGCTTATGCTTGAGAAAAGCCTCAAGGGAAACCCCGGCTGTCCTGAGAACTTCAAGGCCCCTGCTAGAGTCCCCAGACTGTCAGCCAACTGTAGAGGTAGGACAGGGTGACAGTCTTTCACCCTAACAGTGAAGTGAGCTTTGTCTCCAGCCCAGCCTCCCTGTGAGTTGTGGCTGCTGGGGTCTGCAGACCATGTGATGGATTCTGATGTGGGTGGAAGCTGATGTTGGGCTCAGCTTTGATCAGGTCCTGGGGGATTGGGAGGGGGCAGGACAGGCTCAAATCGCCATTGCATCACCCGCTCTTCAGGGAGGCGGCTGTGGGCTTCGTCTCTAGAATTGCCCTCTGCACATACTCTCTGGCCCCAGGGCTACTCTTGCAGATGGTGTGCTGGGCATTGGAATAGCTTTCTCCAGTCTCCAAGAGAGGCTTATAAGTCTCTGTGGACCCAGCCACCTGTCCCAGCCCCCGACTGAGGCCTCTTAGGCCTCCCATCTCACTGGTCCCCACCCCCTCCAGGCACTGTCTGCAACAAAGAGGTTCCACGCCCCTGCCTCACACCTGCAAGTGCTCAAGCCCTGCACACTCACCCCAATTCAGTCACAGCAGCTGGCTTTGAGGGGACAGGGGATGATAGAGTTTGACAGTTTCAGGCCGCAGGGAGCTGCTGACCTCCCAAATAACCCCCTGCCCAGCCCAGGACCAACTGTCCCCTTCAGACACTTGCCCTCACTTGTTCTCGCCTTGTACATACATTTATTGAGTGCCTATTATGCCTCCAGCGGCCCAGACGGTTAGGAAGGCAGGCAGCTCCACACTCTCCTTGCACCCTAACATCCCCCCCCCCCCCCCCCCCCCGCGCACAGACCTTTTTGCGAACCCCCTCCCTTCCACACTGTCAGACCAGCTCTACCACAGCGGTCAGCTCTCTCTGCGCAGAAGCACCGGTTGGTGGAGGGAGGGTGTGAGAGGAAAGGGCAGAGCGGGAGGAGGAAGGGCAAAGGCTCGTAGCCCTCCCTACCTCATGAGGGTTTGGAAATAAAGTTTAGGGACGGGTCTTCCGTGTCCCGCCTACACTGAAATGCAGGACCTTCCTCGCCCAGACCTTGCTGGGAGGTGGCCCCGCACACAGGCTTAGGGTGCCCCGGGCTCTCGCTGTCCCACAAGCCCAGCCCTCCGCTGCCGCCGAGTGCGCCAGCACAGAAAGGTGGCGGTCAGGAGCCCGAGGCCCGCGCCAAGGGCAGCTAACGACATGCTCTGGGCCAGATCCAGGCAGGGCCCGCACAGCGAGAAGGAGATCCCGGTGCCAGCTGCACCGGCCAGCACCGCCAGGGCGCCGAAGGGCAGGATGCAGCGCGGCCAGGAGCCCCCCGCACCGCCGGTGGCCAAGAAAAGGGTGTGCAGGGCTCCAGGGGGCTCTGGGGACGCCAGGTCTGGCAGGGCGGGCTCAGCCAAGGGCTCTGGTGTTCTCATGTTTCCGACTAGGTGGCCGTGATCCGGGGTGGGAATGTGGGTGGCGATGGTAAGGATGCCCACCAGTCTTAGGTTACACCCTGGTTTGCCACGTCAGAGTCAACTGGTCCCTGACGTGGTGGCGACACCAGGATGCCTGGGAGCTCCACTGCCTCCTCCTGGCTTTGGCAAGGAATTGGGTGGGCGTGGGCATGTGTGTGGTAATATCTAAAGTGCTTCCCCTATCTTCATGGAACCCTTCACAAATACCCTAACTCCACCCAGCTTACCTCTCAGGCTTTGAGCACCTAGAACAACCGGCTGGCTACGACCAGGGCCTGGAGTGGCGTCAAGGTAGGAAGGTCATGAAGTCAAGGACTACTCGGCTCTCCAGAGGTTGGCCAGGGGCAGAGATGGGCAGTGCCCTTCCCTTCTAGGATTTATAATCCAGAACCGGGGGCAGGACAATGAGATGGTAGGAACAATAATAGACCAGTGAACAAACCAATGGAATAATTTTGGGTAGCCTATTATGGAAATGACTGGTTGGCAGGGTTGAGGCCTCCTCTGGATCAGAGCACTTGGGCATAGCTTTCCAGGCAGCAGTGGAGTGACCAAAAGGGACTTGCTCAGTTTAATGGACAGTTCAGGGCAGGAGCATTCTCCTGGAGCTGGGTGCTAGCTGGACAGGGTAGGGCAGCCTCCTCTCTTGGCTCAGAGATTTCTGGGTTCTGGTCCAGGAGACACTTCTCAGTCCGATTAAGTTTGTCCATAGTTTTTCACGGTCTACTGTCTCTCATTCCCTCGAAGCCCTCAACTCAGGCTGTGTCTTGACTGATTTGTGTCGGCTGGCCTAACTTTTGTAAAAAAAACTCTTTTATAAGGAGGGCCACCTGCTGGTAACCAGAGCAAGGTGCTTAACCATTACCCAGCCCACTCCCTCACCTAGAGACTACCTGGCTCTCCATAGATCACTTCCTATTAATCCCTCCCCACTCCCCACCAAGGAGGCTGTGTGGAAGGGCCCTGTCCTCTCCCTAGTTTGGTGAGGCTCCGAAGCTGTCTACGCAAGATGCTAGTGGCCCGCTCAAAGAAGTGCTTGGGATGTGTTAAGTGCTCTTAAGACATACTTAAAATTCCAGCACTTGTGAAGCAGAGGCAGGAGGCCTACAAGTTGGAGACCAGTCCAGCTACACAAGCTACACAGTGAGATCCTGCCTCCACAAGCAAAGGTCTGGGGAACTGGGGCTGAAGAGATGGCTCAGTGGTTCAGAACACTTGCTTTCAGGCATGGTGGTGCTGGCCTTTATTCCCAGTGCTCCGAAGGGAGAGGCAGGTGGATCTCTGTGAGTCCGCGTCCAATCTGGTCTACAGAGTGAGTTCCAGGTCAGTGAAGACTACATAGAAAGACTGTCTAAGAAAACAAAAAAGAGCACCTGCTGATCTTCCAGAGGACCAGCTCCCAGAACACACGTCTGGCAGCTCAGAACAGCCTTTAGCTCTACCTCCAGGGGATCTGATGCCCTCTTTTTGCCTCTGAGTGAATCCACACACAGGTGTCATACATATACAATTAAAAATAAACTATTTTTTCTTTTTTGAAACAGGGTCTTAATATATACACCAGGTTGGCCTCAAACTCAGAGATATACCTGCCTCAGTTTCCTGAGTGCTCGGATTAAAGGTGTGGGCCACAGTGGCCAGCTAAAAGTAATCTTAAAAAAAAAAAAAAAAATCCATAGGTTTCGGCCCCTGACCCCAGGCTTCCGTGTAACCTTTGGTGGCAGTACAGAAACTGGCTGCGGTGGGACCACGGACCCAGACAATGTCACCACTGCCCCAGGTGGCAGTGCAAGCCACTCAAATTGGCATGGCCCCGGCGGCGGCGGCAACGTGGCCCTTGGGCACTGACATGGCCTGTACAGGGAACATGCCACCACCAGAGCCATCCTGATCTGAGTGGCCTCTGCCTCTACCTGGAGCCAAGATGTCATCCTGCTGCAGCTGCATATCTGTGGCTGGTGTCACCTCAGAGGGCCATGGGAGCAAAGTGTGATGGAATCAGGTTCATGCTGAGCCGGCCCTGCCCTTCACTGGATGCTGTAGCAAGAAAGCTGTACTGGTCTCCCCCCTCCACATACTCAGGAGAGATGGCCCCACCCCTCACCATGCAGGAGGGGAGCTGACCCTGACAGCATGGATGTAGGGGAGCTGGCTCCACCCCTTGCCTGAGTGGGGGGGGCAGCCCCAGTGGCTTAGACTAACAAGCTCAACTACCACCCAGGCCCACATCCAGACCTGGGGTGGCCTGAGCTAACATCTACTCTAAGTCCTGCTGGAGCTAGTGAAGGGACTGGTCCTGTGGAACCATAACCACGGGCTTTCCATGGCTCGTGGCAGCTGTGGGATATCCTAGAGGAGTTTCGGTGAGGATGCAGTAATGATGGTGTGCCAGAAACTGGAGGCCTTGAACCAGACCAGTGACTCATTGTAATGAAGATTTGCAAGCAGGGCTGATGGGACAAAAGGGTAGACTGTGTGACACACTGCGGCTCCCAGGATGTGTTAGAGAGGCAGGAAAGACGGAGGGGCAAAGAGGTTTCCTTTTGACTTGTTTTTCTTTTTGTTTGTCTGCTTGCTTGTTTTTTTCTGTTTTTTGTTTTTTGAATTTTTGTTTGGTGGGGTTGCTGCAGGGAGGAGCAATATGGAGACTGCGAGGTGAGTGGAATTGAGGTGCATGAGGTGAGATTCCCAAAGATTCAATGAAGAAATCATGTTAAATTTAAAAAAAAAAAGAAAAAAGGAAAAGACCATTTAAAAAAAAAGTCTAGGGGCTGGAACAATGGCTCAGGAGTTAAAAGCCCTTGGTACCCTTGTGCCAAGGGACCCTGGTTTGGTTCCCAACATCCATATGGCAGCTCACAACCAACTGTAACTTCAGTCCTGGGGATCTGAGGCCTTCTGGCCTCTGCAGGCATCAGATACATACAAGGTGCACATTTATACATATAGGCACCCATATATACATAAAAATATATTTAAATGTATTATTTTATACATATGGGTGTTCTGCCTGCATGTATGTATGTGTATCACATATGTGCAGTGCTTACTGAGCCAGAGGAGGCCCCCAGATCTCTTGGAACTGGAGTTATAGGAAGCCATGAGCCATAATGTGGGTGCTCTTAACCACTGAGCTATCCCACCAGCCCCCAAAATAAAACATTTTTTAAAACTCTAGGGAACTGAGGCTGGGAGTCCTTAAGAATCTCGCAGGAGGTCCCAAGCAAGAAATCCCTGATGTAAACCCAAGTCCAGGACTGCAGAGGCTGCAACCCTGACCCCTGTCCTTTCGTGTTCCGAGGTAAGTGACAGTCCCTTATAATAGTGGGTGAAGACCATGAGGTGACAAGGACACCAGCGGACATAGTCAGCAGGAAGCAGCGACCCCACAGGCTGCTGCAAAGCTGGTACCAGGTGACAACGGGGTGGAGCTGGGGTGGCTGTGGGCAGTCAAGCCTCTTCTCATGTGCCTTGTGGCTTCCTGTCTTTAACAGGCTCAGTGCAGCACCTGGGCACACGGGGAAGAGACTTCGGACGTTAATGTCCCCTCCCTCATGCAGAAGAGACAGCCGTGTCTCTGAAAATTCTACTTGAGATATTCTTTTCTTATTTTATTATTCAGACAGGGTTTCAGGCTGGCCTTAAACTTAGGAGCCTCTTGCCTCAGGCTCGCCAGTGGTGGGGTTACAGGTGTGCACCAAGCCCCTTAATCGATAAAATCCTTAAAACCACAAAGAAAGAAACAAGAACATGAAAAGCTCCTTACCAAGCCTGACTTTGATATAATAATATAAATACACACACTTTCTAAAACAGTTCTAGTATCATATGAGTAGTCTGAGAGCCTACGGCGAGAGAAAGTAGAGCGAGCCAAGAAGGGCTTCCCAGGAAGGCTTCTGCCTTTCTAGCTGAGCCCTGACCAGGAAGTTTGGTACTAAGTGGAGCTGAGGGAGAACCCAGCTTTCCCAGTGAAGTTACAGGTATCTCTGTGTGCTTAGCTCCTCCAAACAGGAAATTTCCCCTCAATCCCTGTTCGCTACACTCCAGCTGAGAGGAGAGGACTCTCCCAGAGAGGCTTGTCTGGCCAGCCTGCTTAGTCAGCGGGGTCATCTCGAAGGACTGTGAGGAAGTGCTCACCTCCCTCACAGAGCAGACTGTATGCAGCCCGACACAGTGCCAGCCAAGGTGGCCCTCGGGGCTCCTGGGTGTTTATCAGAGGGAGGAGTTCAGCCATCAGAACCTGGGAACAGTACAGGGCCAGCCTCAGTGGGACCTTATCCCAGGGAGTTGGCCCAGGGATCCCCATGTGGGCAATCCTGAGACAAGCTTCCACTCTCCAGCATTCCTTTCTGAGATTCTATGCATACTGGGCATGCAATGTACTTGGAGAATGTTCCAGCTTACACATAGGCCCAGAGGCACAGTCTCAGTCTATCCCAGGTCCTTCTCCTCTTGAGACTGATGCTCAGGGGGCCTCAGTTAAGGCCACTGGCTCCCAAGAACCCAGGTACACATCACTACCTCCTGCTCTGGAAATACCTTTTCTAGATGGATCTGCTGGTCCAGCATGGCTACTCGGAGCTTCAAGGTTGCCAAGGTCTGCAGCTCCTGGGTGTCAGAGTAGAGAAGGAGCTCAGGGCTCCAGGAAGAGTCTGTCTCTCCTCCACAAAGTGGCGAGGCCTGAGTGGGCTTCTCCACAAGGCTGAGTTCTGGCAGTCCCTCTGTCGCAGCTAAGAGAACAGCTGATTGTAGTCTCATCATGGGGTGGCAGCCATCACTAAAACTTCCCTTTTCTTACAGACCAGTACTTAGCTTTCCAGGTACTTCTTCCCTACTCTCAATTGGCCTTAGCTTTAAGGGATACAAAGCCAAGCTTTTAAAACAATCTTGAGCCGGGGTGGTGGTAGCACATGCCTTTGATCCAGCACTCAGAGGCAGAGCCAGGCAGATCTCTGTGAGTTCGAGGCCAGCCTGGGCTACAGAGCGAGATCCAGGAAAGGCGCAAAGCTACACAGAGAAACCCTGTCTCAAAAAACCAAAAAAACAACAACAACAACAAAAAAAAAACCCAATAAATAAATAAAAATAAAAACAATCTTGAGCCGGGTAGTGGTCGAGTGGTGGTGGTGGTGGCGGCGGCGGCGGCGGCGGCGGCGGCAGCGCATGCCTTTGATCCAGCACTCAGAGGCAGAGGTAGGTGGATCTTGGCCAGCCTGGTCAACCGAGTGAGTTTCAGGACAGCCAAAGCTACACAGAGAAACTTTGTCTCAAAAAACCAAAATAAATAAATAAAATAATAAAACAAAAAACATAAAACAAACAAACAAAAACAAAACAAAAAAGCCAACCTAGTGTGTGGCAGGCTGTGGTATGTTTGGTGTGATGGGTTTGCCTACCTCTGGGCCCTGGCTGGTGACTCTTCAGTCATAGGCAAGGCAGGTTAAAAGCCTTGAGCCTAGTTCAGACCTCAGCACAGGTAGTGGTGAGCAAGAACCTCACCTGCTTGCAGTGCCTGTATCCTGTGGAGACACTGCCCAACCATGGTCCGCAGTCCTTCCAGGACGAGCAGGCATCGGTACTCCTGCATCCAGTCAGTGGGGGCTACACGATTTAAGGAGGGCAAGCGGGGGTCCATGATGGTCCCCCAACCCTCCTTGTGACCCCTGCCTTCTACCCTCCACCCAAGTTCCAGGCAGAACCAGTGACCTGTCGAAAGCTCCCTCTGCATATGAAGTCTCAGCAGTGTACAGGCCTTCCTCAGGCTCCGGGCGTGTGCCTCCACTTCTGCAGCACCGGGTCTGTGGCTGGACCAGCCTGACTGCACACTAGTCAGGGAAACCGTCCTGTGGCCAGACCCTACCCTCCCACCAAAGATGGGTCTGGAGAGATACCACTGCCATGCCACAATGTCCCTTCCCCAAACCTGTCAGGTTTAGAGCCAGAAGTCCCCAGTTCTTCCTTGCCAGTAAGGATACAGCCACCTGGAGTTTGTGGAGGAACTGAGTTTTGGCGGCTCTGGTGGCATCTGCGGAGTCACTGCCTTCTATAGAGCTGAGCTGGGCCCACAGACTGAAACAGCCACGGAGGAGAAACAAGGTTATTTTAATTAACAAGAGTGGACCTTAAGAGGTAGGGGAAGTGATGGACAGGGGCATATACCCCTGGATGTATGGCTTTACTAAATGCAGTAAGGATATCAGAGGCCTCAGGGAACCTAGAGATACTGACCAAGACAAGTGGGCAGGGTAGATCTGTGCCAGGAACAGTGCAAATGCCTGAGAGGTGCCACCTTGTCTGACCCTCACAGCACCTCTATGAAACAGGGCCATTACTGTCATTACAGAAGGAAGACAGCCTGGAATTTAGAGACCAGGTGTCATGTTCAGCCCTTAATATTTGAATGGTTGTGAGTTGGCAAGATGACTCCATGGTTAAGAGAATTTGCTACTCTTATAAAGGCCATGAGTTCACTCCAGCACTCACCGTAGACAGCTCATAACAATCTGTAACTTCAGATCCAAGGGATCTGACACCCTCTCCTGGTGGTATACTCACAGAAACACATACAGGTACACATAAAAACTAAAAATAAGCTGGGCAGCAGTGACACACGCCTTTAATCCCAGCACTCAGGAAGCAGAGGCAGGTGGATCTCTGTGAGTTTGAGGCTAGTCTGATCTACAGAGTGAGTTCCAGGACAGCCAGGGCTACACAGAGAAACTCTGTCTCAAAAAAACCAAACCAACCAACCAACCAAACACCTGAGTGGTTGAACTGAGACCTTCAAAGCTGCCGAGCCTGAGCTGACTCTACAGTTCAAATGAAGCAGATTCTCAGCATGCACAGGGACCCAATAAGGCAAAAGCAGAGACCTGCTGGAGGGTTTTGTTTGCAAGTCCCAATGTTAGTGATGTTTTCCCTGTCTCTCAGTGCCCACTCAGCCGTACCGGGAATTCTGGGAAGCTGCCTTCCTGAAGGCCACAGGTAGTTGCAGGAGGGTCCTGTCAGAGAGAAGCCAATGTTCAGGGCAGCCTCTACTCAGTCTAGGGCTGTCATTCTTACTCCTGGCTCAGAACCCATTAGGGTGAACCTCCTCAAACCCCCTCCTTTAACAGCCTATTGTCAGACAAGCGTCTTGAACAGGGCTTCTGGAGCAGCATGGGCGCTCCAGAGAGAAGAAATGGCCTCAAGCACCAGGCGCATATCTCAAACCCTGCAGAGCCCATCTAAAGCCCCTGGTCTGGTCAGGCTCATGACAAACCTGATACCGTCCCAACCTGCTGTTCTACCCTGCCTGCTTCACTGCGTGACCCTTAAGGGATGGTACCCAGGGCTTCCCCATCCAGCTCAATGCTCTGCTAAGATCTGAACAGATAGAGAAGGCAGTTTCTCCAGTGAGGGTCTGGGAAGCTTACCCCTTCTCTTTTAGTGTGAAGAGTTCTGTGGCAGGAGGAACAGCTGATGGGGCCATCTGTTGGTCCCTGAGGCCTGGTCCAGACCGGGTAGCTTGGGTTCCTGTCCTCACATGGGCCCTATCTCCCCTCGACAGAAGTCTGCACTCAGGGTAGTCCTTGGCAGGGACTGTGGCCCGTTGTATGCCGCTGGTGGATCTTGCACCTGATGCACGGCTGCCAGCCCGGCTGGGGGCCTGGGAATGGGCAGGGGCAGTGGCACCAGAAGTGGCTGCATTAGATGCAGATGTCAGGCTGGGGGTTCTGTCTCTTTGTCCAGCCTTAGACATGCCTTTCCTCACTCGTACAGCCTTCTCCAGTGCCTGGGTCAGAAGCTCCAGTTCCTTGAGGTCTTGAGCACTCGTTGTGCATGCTGTAAAAGTCAAGAACCATGCAAGGGTTCCTCTTCACTGTCCCAGGATGGATCCCCCATGACAACATGCCAGAGAAAGGCCAGGGGCAGCACGCGGGAAAAGCAGCTGGGGTTTACCTGGAGTTGGGGCCTCTTCCTTGGTTTCTGGCTCTGGAGCTGGGGTCCTGGCTGGTTCCCTGCAAAGACAGGGCAGTCATGGCGTGGCCCTAACAGACCCTACCCCTAAGCAGATCCCCAGCCTCAGTCCCTGCAAGATAAGGGGAAGGGATAGCAATGGCAACCGGCCTCCGAAGTGTGCTGTTGCACTTGGCCTCCCAGCCCCTGGGGCTCTGCATAATCCCGATGGTCTGAGAAGGGCCTGGCCAGGAGGTCCCAAGGTCCACATACCAGACTTGGAGCAGCCGCCTGGAAACGCGCAGGCTCCGCTCTAACTGCCGCTGCCTCTCGGCGCAGGAATCCAGGGCGCCCTGTACCTCCGCCACTAGCCTGAGGACAAGCACCATGTGAGCCTCGGAACCCGGCGCCCGCCCGCCCCATTCCCTCTTGTTGCACGAGACCCACCGGCGCGAGCAGTCGGTGGGTAGCAGGCAGTCTGCTCTAGCACCGAGCATTTTTGCCGCCGCCACGGAGTCCCGCACCTTCCGGGTAGAAGGCCGCCCACTTCCGGCTAGGCTACCCAATCTTGAGCGCAGCGAGCAAGACTTGCTCCACAGTGCGGACCACCTCATCAACCAGGCTCCGCCCTAATCCCGCCCCCCCCCCGGGGGGGCTCTGTTGGAATCTCGATAACGAAGCCGGGGTAGATACAGGCTCGCTTGCTTCTGGTTTGGGTAACGAGATCATGGTCTTCTGGTGGGGCATCCGTGACCCTCTTATGTTTGGTTTTCTGTCTTAACCAGTTTTTGTCGAACCTACTTTGAAAGCAGAGATAAACGGTCTTGCTGACTCCCGGGTCACTTAGCCGTCAAGCACATGGATGAAAGATGATGTTTTAGAACTGGGTCAAAGGACAGGAAGCATGGGAATGAATGTCAGATAGGTACCAGAACAGAGCAACGAAGCCCAGGAAATCTGGAGCATGTGGCACCTAGATGGGTCTGCCAATCTGGCCCCTAAGTCATGGCAGGTTGAGACAGGGACAGATAGGAGGGGAGGCTGAGGCCCAGACAATGGCGGAGCTGTTAGGAACAGCAGGCAGACCACATACATACACTGCAGCTAAGGCCCAGCAATGGTCTTTGCCCATAGATTTGCGAAGTCTGGTCAACTTTCACTTCGTGTTTCATATTGAAAGCTCTTTCTGTACCATCTATTGCATTAGTATATTTCATTTTAAAACTCACGATGTAGACTAGGCTGGTCTTGAACTTATAGAGATCTGCTTCCCAAATGTTGCTTATTTCTTTTAAAAAAAATATATATATATACATACATATATATCAGTACACTATTCTATATTCTCAATTGAGTCAGAATGTATGTGAAGCAGGATCTCATGTAGCCTAAAATTCACTATGTAGCTGAGGACCTTGAACTCAACTCATGATCTTCCTGCTTCCATTTTTTTTTTTTTTTTTTTTTTTTTGGTTTTTCGAGACAGGGTTTCTCTGTGTAGCTTTGCGCCTTTCCTGGATCTCGCGCTGTAGACCAGGCTGGCCTCGAACTCACAGAGATCCGCCTGCCTCTGCCTCCCGAGTGCTGGGATTAAAGGCGTGCGCCACCACCGCCCGGCCATTTTTTTTTTTTAAATTAAACTTTTTATGAGTCAGGCAATGGTGGTGTACGCCTTTAATCCCAGCACTCAGGATGCAGAGGCAGGTGGATCTCTGAGTTCGAGGTCAGCAAGGGCTGTTACAGAGAAACCCTGTCTTGAAAAACAAAGCAACAAAACCCTTTTTATGTGTATGGGTGTTTTGCCTCCATGGGTGTCTGTGTACAGTCTGCATGCCTAGTGCAATGGAGACCAGAAGAGGGAACTGGATCTCCTGGAACTAGGGTTATAGGTAGTTGAGAGCCACCATGTGAGTGTGAGAATTTGAATCCAAGTCTTTCTTCTAGAAGAGCAGCAAATGCTCCTGATCAGTGAGCCATCGCTCCAGCCCCACCCCTCTCATCTCTTAAGTGCTAGAATTATAGAAACATGCCACTAGACAGAGCTTTTAGATTTCTCTTTTTAAAAAATATTTATTTATATATTTTATGTATATGGTACTTGGTCTGCATGCACACCAGAAGAGGGCATCAGACAGTTGTGAGCTGCCATGTGAGTTCTGGGAACTGAACTCGGGACCTTTGGAAGAGCAGTGTGTGCTCTTAACCACTGAGCCATCTCTCCAGCCCCTAGATTTGTTTCTGAAGTTAAAAATGTGGTTGGTTGCTGGAAGAAGTGAGGACAGGAGCAGTGCCTAGTAGAACTGGAGTTAATAAATTAATAATCCTAGAGCCCGAGAGGTAAGGTAGCCCTAGTTGTTTAGGTGTGAAGGTACAGGGAACACATGAAAGTTGTGAATCCCCATGTCAAGCAAAGAAGGGCCACGGGACTAGGCACAGGAACTACTACTTCCAACGGGGACTCCAGCAGCCCAGAGAAACTTGTGGAGATTAAGACTTCAGAGGGGGCCAGGTGTGCACCTGGTTCAGCTGGTAGTGAATGGAGATTTTAAAAATTCTTAGATTGATTTTTATTGCATGTGTGTGGCCAGTATGCATGTTTACCACATGTATACATGGTGGTACAGAGGTCAGATACCCTGGAACTAGAATTTAGGGTGGTTGTAAACCACCATGTGGGTGCTAGGAACTAAAACCAGGTCCTCTCCATGAGTAACAGGTGCTTTTACAGGGAACCATTTCTACAGCCCCAGTGAGTTGGGATTTTGACCAGGGACACCACGGACAAGGTGGGAGGCAGATTGCTTATATCACGAGTCTCTTCACATTTAATCCTCACAACATTCCTGTGAGATAGGTATCACTGTCCCCTTACAGCCAAGGAAACAGGCTCACACATGGGCGAACACAATGGTGTAGGACTACAATCCAAAGGCTTGGGTTCTTCTTCTACCAATATGCCCCAGCCAGAGTGGTTAGAATTCTGCTAAGAGTATCAAAACGAGCTGCCACTTCGCACAGCACAGAAGATGAACACTGAGCTCACCCCTTCTCCACCTGTACTTTTGGCTCAAGGGTATTTGGGGGGCACCTCTGATACTTTTTTCAAGAGGAAACAGAAGTATACACGCAGGGTCAGCCTATCTACTCGGCCTTCAGCAGGATCCCCAGGTGTCGAGGCCAGCTGCCTTACACGGGAAGCAGACATTCTTGAAGTTTCTGACCAGCACAAAAGGACCGGTGACCTATTTTCTTCACATGGAATCTGGCCATAAACGAGCGAATCCGGCGATCTGCTTTCTTCATGTGGAATCTGGCCATAAACCTAGCAAGTCCAGTGATCTGCATTCTTCCCGTGGAATCCAGCGTCTTTGTTAACTTGGATATTACAAGTGATTGCTTATGGCTATCCTCTAGAAAGATTCATTTTTCATAAGGAAAGAACACAAGGCTAGAACCAGAGGCTGGGACCAGGTTCCTTTTTCTAAGGTCCTATGACCCAGCCCAGCCTGACCTGGAGCTTCTGGTCCTCTTACCACACACTTCTGGCTGCTGAGATTGCCATGATGAGTCACCATGCACAACTAGATTTTCTCTTTTCAGCTAAAGCTCAGCAATATTGGGAATCTGTTATCTTTTTATTTGATAGCCTCTATTTCAAATGGTTCCTTTTTTTTTTTTTTTTTTTAGAAGAAACCTAGAAATAAAGATGAGGGAAGAATGGCCTAGAAATTCAGTGCAGACAGATGGTCACATGGATACAATGGGGCACAGACGAACCACTCTGACAGGACAGATTTTGAAACTGAGCTCCAAGTGCCAAAGGGAGGAACCTTTAGCCCCAGCTTCAAGGTCCTCACACCTGACCATTAGGCTGTTGTCAACACTGATATGCAGGGACACAGGCTGAAGCGGGCAGTGATGTGTTCAGATGGCAGCTCCCCACTGGCCTAAAATAAGACATGCAGCGGGGCTTTGAACTGTGTTAGGCTCCCTGGGCCACTAGCATTCCAAGGAAGCCGTCAGCTCCTGGCCTGGGATTGTGAACGCCAACACAGAGGCCCATGCTCCCAGAGACAGCAGGACACAGAGGGCAGAGAGATGGGTTCCACAGGTGTGGCCTGACGGCTGTGAGGCTGTTGTCGAGAAGAGGCTGAGCTTTCACTGTCTGGTATTCTGATGGCTCGCACTGAACTCCCCTTCTGGGGTCCACACAGCACCTGCCTTCAGTGTCCTAGAGATACAGCAGCCCTCCCCAGTAAACATTCACCATGGCAAACACTAACATGTTCAGAGCTTCAGGAACCCTAAGTTCGTGTCCTCGTCACCGTGCACTGATAGGTTTTGGCGCTTTACCCGTTGATGGTGAACCCCACTCTCTGGGGGACTTGGGGTACGACACTGTAAACATGACTTCTTGGCCTGGTGGTGGCAAGGCTCTGTGTGGGAGTAGCTGCCCACAGACAGCACTGAGGTAGATCGGGGAGAGCCCCCCATGCCACCATCCAGGGAACTTATGGGACTCGCATTGCAGACGGAAGAGTACCCAGAGGTTGTGATGTCCTTGCCCAGCTCTCCCCTGTTGCGGAGAAGAGGCCTGAGAGCTGGGGCTGGAGGTGCCTGGGTGCCTGGCGTTTGGTGGCCCTTGTCCTCTGGCCAGGCCTCCTCGTCACTGGATTCCTGGCAGCAGTGCTGTTCTGGTTTCAGGAAGACCACAGTGACATCAAGGAGTCCACTGGGAGCTGTGACTGAAAAATTGGGGGGGGGGTGTCTTTATGGTACAGCCCAAGTTATCAGAAGTGACCCTACACCTGCTCAGGACTGGGTGGCCCAGGTATTGCTTTAGGTGACAGCTACGAGTGACCTTGCTTCTCTCAAACTGGGAGGACTGTCCGACAACTCGAAGGGCAGCAGAAGGTGACTGGTCGGTCACCTAACTCAATCTGAGTGGACCCAAAAGCAAGCCAATTAGAAAAGCAGCTGAAACTTGTCCGTGTCAGTCTTCCTGGCCAGTTTACATACACACGTGTGACACACTCAGTGTTCTACACTTTAACCAACAATGACCCAGAGGGACGGGTACAGGTTTAGACCACACCCTCTCCCTCTGTGGGGTGGTGGAAACCCTTGACTCCAGGGCACAGTGCCAGGTGGCCCTCAGACCCCATGCCATCAGCCGATCCATCCCTCCACACCACTCACCATCACCCTCCTTCTCTCCTTCACTCTCCTGGTCTCCTTCATAGCCAGAGCAGCAGTCCAGGCTCCAGTCCAGAAGGCTGCCCAGCAGTGTCTCCTCCTGGCTAGACAGCTCTGCGGTGGGCGTGGTGACAAAGCTGTCCCTGTCCTCCTGAAGGCTGTTCTCCCGCTTCCTGCAAGGTAGGGAGAGTCCATGAGGCCCTGGTCACAGGCGGCAGCACCTGGGGAACCAGTCTGGTCCTTAATGCCTGCATGCCCCTGGCTCTCACCGTGTGTTCTGGAAAACACCCATGAAGCTAGCATAGGTCTGAGCCCTGAAGGGCAGGGGAGCAATTGTAGGAAGAACTGGGCACCTAGTCTAGGAGTGAGTCCTGGCTTACTCTGGCCAGCTGGGGGTCCGGGGCCCCTCTGGTACCTGGCAGGAAGACTCTGCTAGGGTACTAGATGCACCAGACAGGGCAGTGCTGGGCCTGATCGCATACAGCAGTCTATCTTTCGGCAAGGCCAGCAAACCTGTCCACCTGGGTCAGGGCTAGAGAACTACAGGAAGGTCTGCCTCTGGGGGAAGCTGCCACACCCACCAGGCCTTTCTGCTGCTGACTTTAGGGTGAGTGTGGCTGTCCCCATGTTAACCTGGAGGTTTCTTCTGGAAGTCTGAAGGGTTTTCTGGAGAACAGGTCTTTAGAGGAGCCAGTGACCCCCCCTTGATAAGTACACGTGTCTATCTAAGATTTCCCCAAGGGTAACCCGGATATTCAAGAGTGCCAAGTGCAGAGTAAGAGGTGCACAGTGGCCCTCTCAGGAGGACCCAGTTCTCCCCCATTGCACACGGTGGAAGAGGCTGTGGTGTTTCATGTGTAGCAGGTATGAAAAGTTAACCCCCGACGCTGCTGCCTCCTCAGGTCCCCCAGGAGACCAAGGTCTGAAGCCAGGGTCCCCACCCCAGAACACTCATGGCTGATATGGTATGTACCATCCAGCCACCCAGTGCCTGACCTGAGGTTGCTCAGGAGCACACAGGGTGCTGAGGGGTCACAAAGGCAGGGCTGGCACAGAGGGGACCCTGCCCCCTGAGCTTTTCAGATTAATAGCTCAGTGGTGAGGCAGAGTTACTCCAGGAGGCAGAGCCAGAGCGCTGGTATGTGCACTGAGGAACAACAGCACCACACAGAGCAAAGGAATGAGGAGAGGGGGCGGGCTACAACCCAACTCCAGCCGAGCCACGGCACGGAGCAGAGCAAGGAGACCCTGAACAGGATCTACTGCCTTCAGGACATCTTCCCTCAAAGGGAGCCCTAGGGACAAAGGAAGACAAACAGTGCCTTCTGAGAAAGGAGAGGTGGGCTGGAACACAGATATTCAGGAACAGGCCAAGGCCAGAAACCCCTGGGTTAAACTCGGGATCTGCTGCTCCCTGGCACAAGCCTTAGGACACTTAGACAAATGGTTGTGGTGTCAAGGAGGAACCTGACACACAAGAGCATGCCATGGCATGGCTGCTGATGGACAGGGCAGACTCACCGTTTGCTTCTCCTCCCAGAGGGCGAGGTGAGGAAGGTGTGGATCTCCCCTGTGCTAGGGAAAGATGGGGGCTCTGGGCTCTCTTGTCTCACTCCGAGTGCAGTGCACAACTCTGCATAGCTCAGTACCTGTAGGGAGGCCAGAGTGAAGAACTCCAAACCCACTCAGGCACTCCCCCCAGGAGCCTCAGTGACAAAGGAGGACATACCACTTCCCGGCTGATTTCTTCATAGCACTTATCCTCAAAGCGCTGCTTGACAGCAGTCAGAGAGACCTGTCTGTAGTCCTTGGGTGCATCATCATGGAAACTGCAAAAGGACAGAGAGCCTGACATGTGAACCTCACCGACCCAAACTTAGTCTAACTCCCCCACCAGAGAGGACAGCAAGCTTTCAGGACCAGTCCCATCAATGAGGACACACAACCGTGAAGACTGGCAGCTCCTCAGGGGTTCGTTTCCCGAGAAAAAGAGAAACAAACACCCCAAGAACTTGCACAAGAATGTCTGTCGCAGTCAGCGGTAGACACAACCCACGTATCCAACAATGGTCAGACAGACAAAGGTCCATTCAAACAGTGAAACTCACTCAAGCACCGACACACATCGCAATATGAACCTCAAACAGGATGCTCAGAGGGAGAAGGCAGACTCACAAAGTGACATATTAATGTGACCACTTCATGCAAGGTCTGGAATGGGCAAAGCCGCAGATGAAAAGCAATGAATGGATGATGGGGCCAGAGAAGTTGGGAAATGTTAAGTGATGGCTAAAGAGTGGGATTTCTTTTCTTTTCTTTCCTTTTTTTTTTTTTTTTTAAAAAAGACAAGGTTTCTCTCTGTAGCCCTGGCTGTCATAGAACTCACTGTGTAGATCAAGCTGGCCCTGAATTCAGAGATCCACCTGTTTCTGCCTCCCCAGTGCTGAGGTTAAAGACATGCACCGCTACCACCCGGCTGAGTGGGGTTTCTGTTGAGGGTTAGTGAAAATGTCCTAAAATGGGTTGTACAATTCTGAATGTACTAAAAGCCTTTTCAAGTTATACAACTTTTTAAAAACTTGTCCCCAGCACTTTGGAGGCAGAGGCAGGTGGATCTCTGTGAATTAAAGATCAGCCTGGTCTACAGAGCCAGTTCCAGGATAGCCAGGGCTATACAGAGAAAACCTGTCTCAAAAACCAACCAAACAAACAAACAAATAAAAAACTTAGTTTATAAATAAATGCTTCCAACTTAAGTAGTTTAAAAACAACCACAAAAAAATTGGGGATATAAGTTTAGCATACACAAACACTTTTTTTTTTTTTTTTTTTTTTTGCAAATAAACAATCCTTAGCAATAACTTCTGGTTGCCAGCATCAGGTAACAACCAATACAAGAAAAGGTGGAAAACCAAAAGAAAAGAAAAAAAGCTGGGCGGTGGTGGCGCACACCTTTAATCCCAGCACTCGGGAGGCAGAGCCAGGCGGATCTCTGTGAGTTCAAGGCCAGCCTGGTCTACAGAGTTAGTTCCAGGAGAGGCGCAAAGCTACACAGAGAAACCCTGTCTCGAAAAACCAAAAAAAAAAAAAAAGGAAAGAAAGAAAAGGTGGAGGCCGAGCTACTGACCCTGTCTGTAACAGTCACCCTGCTTCCTCAGCCACCAGCTACATGGTCTGGGAACCACAGAAAAAAACAGAGTAGGAAAAAGTATAACACTGACAGGTCCCAATCAGTGGAACCCAATGGGGAGGCAGGAGGACAGAGAATTGCTGGTCAGAGGCATAGCGGATTATTCTAGAGGGCTCTGACCTTACCCTGGAAGCCAAGAATGATGCTCTGGGCTGAGGCAAACAGAAAGAACATGCTGTAAGGAGGAACCCAAGGCGTGACCAAGGTCACCATGAAAGCCAGATCTCAAGGAAAGAGCACTGGACCCAAAAACCACTAGGTTGTATGGAAAAGCAGTCAATACTACCTACGGGAGGAACACCCAGTCAGAGCAGAGGGCAGCAGCTCAGACATACAAGCAAGGTAGCCTGGGCTGGGGTGAGGAGTCCAACTTCAGCTGTGAATACTGAAGTGGTTAATTTCCTGAGGGAGGGATTGTGAGCCGTGAAAGAAAGCCAGAACTGCCTGGTTCCTCGGGGTGGAGGTGATGAGGATAGAGAGCCAGGGAGCAGTGCAGCCATGAGAAAAGACCCGGAGAAAGGAAGCAGTAAGCAAGCAAGAAGTGGGAGGAGCGGGTCTGCAAGTGATGCTGGGAAAAGACAGAGAAGCAGCCACAGGCAGATGCAAACCCAGCCCAATGTCCCATGACACTCCCCTTCCAGCCAGCAGCCCAAATGTCTGTCTGCACCACCCTTGCACAGATGTCCCCAACCTGGAACATGGATGTGCTTCCTTCAAGGGACCCTGGCCTTACCCATGTACCAGTTCCACATCCCCCATCCATTCTCCCCACCCTGTTTCATTCTTTAAAATGATTTATTTATTCTTAGAGTATATGTACGGGTGTTTCGCCTGTATGTATGCATGTCTATGCACCACACCAGAAGATAGCATGGGAGGCCTGTAGAAATGGAGTTACAGATAGTTAGGAGCCTCCAAGTGGGTGCTAGGAACTGAACCCAGGTCCTCCGGAAGATCCTCAGATGTTCTTAACCACTGAGCCACCTCTCTAGCTCCACTCACCGCCCACTCTCCCTTTTCTACACATTGTCACTAGCTGACACCCTGCGCAGACAGTGCTACTCTAGTCTGGCCTTTGTCCTTCTTTCTTACATACAATATATTCTGATCATGGTTTCCCCATGATCTTCCCATCTTCTCCCTACTCCCCCACCCATCCGACTCCAAGCCTTCTTTCTCTCTCTCTTTAGAAAACAAATAGACATGTTAAAAAAGCAAGCAAACCAGAATTAACAAAACAAAATTTAAAAAAAAAACCCAAACACACACAAACAACAAAACCCATAAAAACATAAAATTGAGAGCCACAATACACAAGCAAAAGACCAGTAAGACAAAAAATTCCCCAAGCAATATGAGAAAAAAACAAAAACAAAACAAAACAAAAAACCCATGAAGTGCATTTTGTGTTGGCCTCTACTGTGGGCACAGGGCCTAAGCTTAAGTGTGGTTTGTAAATACTGAGATTCCATTAAAGAAACCTTTTTTTCCCTATTCTGGCCCTTTTCTAAGTACCCAGAAAGGGTCCCGTGAGGTGAGTAAAGGCCCATTCACAGGGCGAAGATGCAGATGGGAGGCCACAGAGCAGTGGGGTCTAGCTGAGATGTGTGGGTACAGCAGACAGGCACAGGCAAGGACTGATGGGGGGCGCTCCTTGTCTACTGGCTTCCTCTTCCTCAAGAAGACAGGTTCTATGTGAACACAGAAACAAGTCTGGGCCTGGGATTTAAAACGCCAACCTGGGGCTCACAAGACAGCTCAGAGGGTAAAGATGCTTGCTGCGCAAGCTGATGGGGTGAGTTCAAGTCCTAGAACCCACAGAAGGCTGGAAAGAGAAAGTGTTCTTTGATCTCCACACGTACACTATGGCACATGTACTCACACATCCTATAATAATAGCAACAACAGCAATAGCTGGAACTTTGACAAGTAGCTCAGGCTGACCATGACTCACAACATTCCCACTTAGTTCTCTCCAGCGCTGACAGACAATGAGTGTAGACTTGGGCTCACCATTTTTTATAAAGGCTCAAGACGCAGGGTGTGAGGTCGTTGTAAGAGAACCCAGTGAGGTCCCACAGATGAGAGGTCCAGGGCTGTACTGGAGAAGAAAGCAGGCCAGAATCGTGACAGGCCCCACAATTCCCACAACTCTGCTACTTTTGTAACACACTCCCAGACTCAGGCTTTCCGTTCCTTCAAAATACACTTAAGGGCCAGTAAAATGGCTCAGTGGGCAAAGGCACTTGCCACCAAACCTAAGGACCTGGACCTAACGACATGATAGAAGGAGATAACCAACTCCTGCAAGCCGTGCATCCTCTGCCACACTCATGCCATGGCATTGTGTGTGCACACATATGCAATATGTTAAATATAAATGTGAAAAGCCAAACAACTCAACTAAAACATCCTTGAAAAGTTCCATATAAGGCCCACAAAGTGTTGAAAACTATATACTGCTCCAGCTAGAGCCATCTTTTTTATTTTTAAACAGTCTTAATTTTATTTTTATTATAAAATAACAAATTATGGTTATATACATTATAGGTATACAGTAATGTTATTATTTATGAATAAATGGAATCATCAAATCAACAAGTTAATATATTTATCACCTCTATGGGAAATCTGAAATTTACTCTTGGCCAACTGTGAGAACTCATGTCTATAATCCCAGCACTCAGGAGGTTAAACTGGAGGATTGAGAGTTCAAGGCCAGAATGCACCCACATATTAAGACCCTGTCTCAAAAGAACAAGAATTCACCCTTGTAGAAATTTGGAAATGTACAATATATGCTATCTCCCCATTCTTCCTACTTACGACGCATCCCCTAGAAACCACTACTCTATTCTCTGCCTCCCAGAACTGGCTTGCTTTAGATTCCACACGTGAAAACTTGTGACATCTTTCTGGGCCTGGTTACTTCACCATAACTTCCAGTTCATCCATGTTGTCACAAAATTTCTTTTCAAACAGCTAGAGCCATCTTACCCCCCCCCCCCCAAATGTTTTGGGGCCATTTTGCTGTTCTTTCTCCAGGATGGATGAGGAGATGTTTATTTCTGCCTTTCCAACCTCTCCTATCTGAGAACTTTCCCAGACACCAGGGAAATCTGCCCCCCACGCCCCAGGAGAGCTTCTCCTTACTCTGCCCATGCATCAGTCTGGCCAGGAGCAGGGCTGCAGAGGCCAGGCGGGCTGGGGTGTAGATTGACAGGCTGGTGTGCAGCAGGGAGAGCTCACAGAGAAAGCTGCACAGGTGTTGGGTTCTGGTTGCAACTGGGACCAGTGTCAGCAGGACCTCTTTATAATCAACCACGGTAGGGACCTAGGCAGAAGAGGGAGGTAAATATCGTGTCTCATCTGTCAATGTCACACCGAGGCACAGCCCGGCAGGGGTCTGGCCTAGGTGTTCATGCTGATGCCCAAGCTCAGGATTTCAGTGCACATAATGGCACACCACAGCCATGCTTCTAGGTGTTCTCTCCGCAGCTGATGGCCCACCTACCCCCGTGACCTCAAACAGGAAGACAATTTTGTTCAAAGGAAAAAAACCAAACCCCGACTTACTCGAATCTTCCCTTCCAGGGCAGAGATGATCTCTCCCATCATTCGTACCAAGTCCTCATACTTGTATGTGTTGTCTGTGAGCCACACAGCCTCTCGAATGGTCAGAATCTCTTTGCTGATGAACCTGGAATGGAGAGATGGGGGGTCTCAGCCCTGAGCTGAGGGGCTACAGCCCAGGAAGGCCCTGGGAGGCCTCAAGTAAGGGCGCGATTGACTGCTCCCGACTTGGGTGACAAAAGGCGGCTGCTCAATGGATTCAGTTGCCTTTGACTAAGGAGAAGCATTACAAGTGCCACAAAGAGGGAGTCAAAGCAAGACACCGAAGTGTCAGGTCCCAAGGAAACCTGGGACAAGTCCCACTGAGTACCTATGGCTCCTCCCAGCACTCCACGCCCCACTCCCTCCCAGCTTCTGACCCTTCCATAACTCAGCCATTTTGGCTACACATCTTGGTGTTCTCTCTCTCTCTCTCTCTCTCTCTCTCTCTCTCTCTCTCTCTCTCTCTCTCTCTCCTCCTCCTCCTCCTCTCATGGCCTGGTCTATTCTGTGGGTCATGCTCAGTCAGGACTCTTCCAGATACCTCTGGCTGTTCTCTCCCTCATAGCTACAATACAAACCTTCTCCTCAACCATACTCAGGAGTGGTTATCCCATTTTCATTCACCCGTGAGTGACACTATTAATTCAGTTCTCTAGTTCTCTTTACCACCTTATGGATGAGGCTTTTTTGTTTGGTTTGGTCATGCTGTGGTTCAAACGCAGACACTAACAAACGCTTGAGCTCTAAACGACATCTTCAGCTCCTGTCTTATCTTTTAACAGTATCTGAGTATAAACAATGTAAATGCAAAAGTAGGTGAGCTAGTGGGAACAGGGAATGGAAGCGAAGAGCCTAGAGGTTGTCTGAAGGTCTGCACACAGCCCAGTGTTTGGCCACAGGAATCCTAACTGTCCCTGAGGCAAGTGGGCACCCTGTTCTCTACTGGCCACAGGAGCTAATTACCAGAACACTCTGCTCCAGTGGTCCCACAAGCACCTCCCCAGCAAATTCAGATTGTTGCTCAATCTTGGCACTCTGCAGTATGAGTCATTGCCATTTGGCCTAACAGAGGGGTCAGGAGGGAGACGGCCACAGGCACTAAAAAGAGGGATGTGAATGGGCTGATGCGAGCTCTGCACTGGACCCTGAGGTGACTAATGGGGAGCATAAGTAACAGAGGCTCTGAGAGCTAAGCCAAGGCACCTCAGCCTGCTGGCAGGAGGGGGTTAGACCAAGGTTTCACATGTTCCAGACATGCCTGCCCCTAACTCCCAAGTGCTGGGGTTAAAGGAGTGTACCACCATGCCCAGTCCCCAGTTTAAAACATTTTAAAGTAGTTATTTATCTGCTTGCCTGTGGTCCTAGGGCTGTGAAGATGTAACTATGCTGTCAGGGACACGCAGACAGCAGCCCCACCGTTTGGTGACTGGTCAGAAGACCTGGGGTGTGAGATTTAGGTCAAGGAGCCTATTTGAAAGGGGCTTGGAGTATGGTAGGGTCGGTTTGCTGTCCCTGAAGTCCATGAGTCCTCCTTCTGTGGTAGTATGGTCATGCTTCTTCTAGCTGGCATATGGACACCCAAAGGTACTAGAGTGTCCACTGTGGTTAGGTATGTCCATATGACTAACCTGGTATGGAAGGTGAGCTTGGCAGCTTTGATGGCCACAGAAACAAGGACAAGTCACGGAGCTCAGAAGAGAACAAGATGTGAGCCAGAGCTCCTTCATGCCTTCATAGAACAAAAACTCATCCCAGAAGCCTTGGGCATTCTGCCTGCAGGTTCAGATATGTGTCAACTTGACACAAGCCAGGGTCATCTGGGAAGGAGGACTCTTTCTGGAGACTGGTTTACAGGCATGTCTGTAGGGCATTTTCTTGATTGATGATTGGTATGGGAGGGCCCAGCTCACTGTGGTGGTGAGGCCCCTGGGCTGATGTCTCGGTGCTATAAGAAAGCAAGCTGAGCAAGTCATGAGGAGCAAGCTAGTAAGCAGGACTCCTCCATGGCCTCTGTATCAGGTCTGTGTGTGTGTGTGTGTGTGTGTGTGTGTGTGTGTGTATAGCCATGGTTGTCCTAGAACTTGCTTTGTAGACCAGGCTAGACTCGAACTCACAGAGATTCACCTGCCTCTGCCTCCCAAGTGTTGGGATTAAAGATGTGCTGTGTCACCATGCCTGGCCTCTCTGCGTCAGTCCTTACCTGCCCTGACTTCCCTCAGTGATGAACTGTTACCTGGAAGTGTAAGTTGAAATAACCCTTTCCCCACCAAGTTGCTTTTGGTCATGTGTTTTGTCACAGCAATAGAAACCCCAAGGGGCCGGGCGGCGGTGGCACATGTATTTAATCCCAGCACTCGGGAGGCAGAAGCAGGCGGATCTCTGTGAGTTCAAGGCCAGCCTGGTCTACAAAGCGAGTTCCAGGAAAGGCGCCAAGCTACACAAAGAAACCCTGTCTCGAAAAACCAAAAAAAAAGAAAGAAAGAAAGAAAAGAAAAGAAACCCCAAGGGAGTTCCCAACCGAGCACAGGAAGTAGTTAGCTGTAAGTGCAGCTATGATACTTCGTGCTCAGCAGGCCCAGGAGACAAGGAAAGGGTCTGGAACACATGTCCCAGGGGAAATGGTAGACCATGATGGGGACATTCGGTTTAGAGAATGAGAAAATGCAAACCATTTTGAAAACTCTTTCCACATCACTTCCAGAGGCAAAATCAGGGTAAAGGAAGCACTGGCTGAGGACAGACAGTTTGGGACAAAATACAAAGGGACACACGCCAAAGAGTCAGAGCATCCCTCCTCTGAGTGACATCCGTGTGGAGGAATAGCTCTGATGGGGCTTTAGTGGTGGCCTTGGGATACTCCTGCCCAGGACTATGGGAAACTGATGATAAAGATGTGAGAATTCAACCTCAGTGGCACAGTATCATCCTTCTTGTCAACTGTCACTCTTTGGATCCTGAGAAAGAGTGGTCCATGCTCTGGGTCCTGAGACTGTGTGGGGACACAGGCTCTCAGCAGAGGTACAGTCAACGGACAACGGGTCAACTCTGCCATCCTCCCTTACAAAGGACACTGGGATTGGATAACAACTGAACCAGGGACTCTTAAGACTCATTTCCCTTAAAAACCAGCTACTAGAAAGGAGAGGATGGTGGCCCCTGCCTAGGAGGGACCAGCACATATGCACACAACCCTGCCAGTCTGGCCAAGGGGCTTCTCACCGGGTACAGATGACCATGCAGGCAATGCCCAGAAGCTGGAGCTTGTAGCGGGGTACCAGCCTCCTCCGCAAGTACCGGTCTACACACTCCACTGTCAGGTGGAGACACAGGCTTGTGAAGTCCTTCATTGTGGCAACTTCTACCAACCAGTCGATTAGAATGTATCTGTGGAGAGAGGGGCCACCTGTGAAAACTAGGTCAAATGTCACACCTTCAATTTCTGCCCAAGTCTGTTCAGTCTAAACAAATGAAATGATCACTTTGGAATCACCGACTTACCAACCTAGAGACTCCATGTTCCAGGGAGTTGGGGAGGCCCATAGCTACTCCTGGGAGGCTGGTGAGTCCACACATCTCTGCACCCTGCGCCCCTCTCCACTCAGCATGCACATTCCCAGTGTTCACAAATCCAAGTGAGCCCTCAGCCACCAAAGCACTGGCTGAGCCCAATCTTAGTGCAAATAGGCAGTGGGTACCAAATGAGTTGCACAGCAGGGCTGGGGATGGAGTACAGCTCCTGGGACTAGAAACGGGTCAGTCACCCTGGACCATCAGGCTCTCCTGTCTGGGCCCTTATAACAATGCTCTGCAGAGGATCAAAGAGCCAGAAATGCCACTTAAAGCCAGAGCCACTCCGTCCCCACACTGAAGTCTCCCTACGTCCTTCACCCAGCACCCTAGATGGACGTACAGACACTAGAAGGCTGATAGAAATGTCCCTCTCTACCAGGGAGTTAAAACCTGGAGACCGCCGGGCGGTGGTGGCGCACGCCTTTAATCCCAGCACTCGGGAGGCAGAGCCAGGCGGATCTCTGTGAGTTCAAGGCCAGCCTGGACTACCAAGTGAGTTCCAGGAAAGGCGCAAAGCTACACAGAGAAACCCTGTCTCGAAAAACCGAAAAAAAAAAAAAAAAAAAAAACCTGGAGACCAAGACCATAAATAATCACAGGCGGTGTTGGAAGACAGAGGACAACTTTGGGAATTGGTTGAGCGGGGCCTGGGAACTGAACTTGCATTTTCAGTTTTGGCAGCAAGCGCCTCTGCCTGATGAGCCATCCTGCTGGCCCCAGGGATCTGTTTTTAGAAGTCAGATTATTAGGCTATCAAGAGTGCCGGGGCCAAGTGGTGGTGGCGCACGCCTTTAATCCCAGCACTCAGGAGCCTGAGGCAGGCCAATCTCTGTGAGTTCCAGGCCAGCCTGGTCTACAGGGCAAGTTCCAGGACAGCCAGTGCTACACTGAGAAATCCTACTTGGAAAAACCAAAAGCATGCTGAGATTCAAGGCATGCATCAATGTGAGACAGGATCTTTTACTGGTACCCAGGGCCTCCAAATTAGACTAGGGTGGCTGGGCACAGAATCTCAGGGACCCACCCATCCCCACTTCCTCAGTGCCAGGACTATAAGCACATGCCATTATTTTCATTCCCCACTCCTCTCCAAGTACTGGGTATCAAACTCAAGTCCACATGGTTGTGGAGCATGCAAATTACTCAATGAGACCATCTCCCTGGCCTCAGGACAATCATTTTTTAAAAAACCTTTACTGAGCATATATCATGTTGCAAGCAGTATCTACAAGGAGCCAGAGATTTCAAATCACAAATCCAAACTTTACATGAATTTCAGATAAAAGCTTAAAAAAAAAAAAATCACTCCCCTTTTCCATTTTACTCGCTAACATTCTGCAATTTTGTTATCACTAACATTTGGAGGCTGGAAGAAAGGCAGTTGTGCTGGGTGTCACAGTAGCTGCCTCGGGGAGGGGACGGCAGGGATGGGGTTGGGGTGGGAGGACAGCAGCTCCCGAAGTCTTACTTCTAGTCACTGAGTACCACAAAATACACTGATGATTTTAAAAAAAAGGTTATATTTTTGGCTTCAGAAACTGATAGTCTGAGTCTCATCATTTTAGGAAAATGTTTAGAACAGTTTCACATGCTCTCAGCTTTAGAGAAGGCTGTAGTGGCTCATACCTTTACTCCAAGTACTCAGGAGGCCAAAGCAGGATAACCAGAAGTTCATGGTTAGCCTGGGCTACAGCAGGGCTGGGGAGATTGTGAAGTGCTTGGCGATTAGCATTTGGATCCCCAGAACCCATGAAAATGCCAGGTGTGTGTGGACCGACTGTTAATTCCAGCTTTGGAAGCTGAGATGGGACCTTCAGAATAATACAGTTAGCTAGAGGGACGGGGGAGAGACCCTGCCTTGTTGAATAAGGTAGAAGAGCAATGGAAGATCCGCAACATCAACTTTGGGTCTCATGTACACACGTGTACTCCTGTACGCATACGCACACTCACACCCACGAAAGTGTAAAAATGCTATTGCTCTCCCATCGGAGCAAACGCGCTCCTGCAGGCCTCACCTCATCGTGTCGCTGAGTCCCTTCTGCACAGAGAAGACTCGCTGCTTGTTGACAGCCTGGGAGGCCTGGAAGAGCTGGCAGACCGTTTCACTACAGGCTTTCCACTCCAGTCCAAGCTGGCTTCCACCTGCGCAGGCTTTGGCCAGAGCCAGCTGCGGGACAGAAAGGTGCAGCGTGAGCCAGCTTCTCCGCTCCCGAGGCCTCGGCGGGCAGACAACACAGGGCACATCTGCCTGTCCCAGTCTCTCAACCTGCTATAGCAGCATAGCTAAGATCTCTAGGACGGGACCTCTCTGCACCAGTCTTCCTTTTTATTTTATTAATTAAATTTATTTTTATTAATATATCCCGACCGCATTTTCCCCTCCCATCCCTCCCCCTTATCCCCCTAATCTACTCCTCTATTTCTGTTCAGAAAGGGGCAGGACTCTCACGGCTTATCAATAAAACATGGCATATCAAGTTGCCTAAGACTAAACACCTCCCCTTGTACTAAGGCTGGGCAAGGCAACCCAGTATGAGGAATAGCTTCCCAAAAGCCAACCAAAGTCCATGCTCCCACTGTACGGAGTCCTGCAAGGAGACCAAACTACACAACTGTCACATACATGTAGAGGGCTTATGTCAGTCCCATGCAGGCTCCCTGGTTGTCAGTTCAGATTCTATGAGCTCCTGTGAGCCCAGGTTAGTTGATTCTGTGGGTTTTCTTGTGGTATCCTTGACGCCTCTGGCTCGTACAATCCTTCCTCCCTCTCCTCAGCAGGATTCCCTGAGCTCAGCCTAATGTTTATCTGTGGGTCTCTGTACATCCGTTACTAATGAAGCCTCTCTGATGACAATTGAGGTAGGCACCAATCTATGAGTCCTTTTAATTTTTTAAAAACTAAACTAATAAATACATAAATAATATATATACATACATATACATAAATACATACATACACACACACACATATATATATGGGTGTTTTGTCTACATGTATGTCTCCATGTGCATGCTTGGTGCCCAAGGAGGCCAGAAGGTGTCAGATCCCCTGGAACTGGAGTAGGTGATTTTGAGGGGCTGCTGGGAAACAACCAAGGTGCTCTTGGAGAGCAGCTGGTAGTCTTAACCACTAAGCATCTCTCCAGTCCCAGCAATTTCCTCTTTAATGAAATGGTACACTGATGGTGCTGGAGTCAACAGATGAGGACGGACTGAGATGTGTCAGAACTTAGGATACACTGCCTAGCACCCACAACAACTCGAGATGTCCACTGTCGACAACTTTGACACATTTCCATCTGTTTTCCCAGGTAATTATAGCTTGGTGTATATATGTATTTGACCACAGTTTATATGCATCTTTTTTTTCTCCACCTAGCAATACTGTTTTTCCAAGTTATCTGACATAACTTGAAATAGTCCTTACCTATTCTTCCATTTAGAGTGTTTCTGTTGATTGTATTGTGGCCCATCCAATTCCCTACCTGCTAAGTCCACAGAACAGCTGTAGGGTTTTGTCTATACTTATTCAAGTACCCTCCCCCAAAGGTCCATGCCGACTGCTGACTTCATATCACTCATAGCAAATATCTCATTGATTTTACCTTCATTGGCAGAAACCACCATCATTAAAATGATCTTAGGTTAGAGGTGGTTCAATAGGGAAGAGCACTGGCTGCTTTTCCAGGGGACCCAGATTCAATTCCCAGCACCCACATTGTGGCTCAGAACTGTAACTCTAGTTCCAGGGTATCTGACACCCTCTTCTGGCCTTTTCAGACACCAAGAAGACACAAGGATATACACACAGGCAGAACACCCATATATATCATAAAAAACAAACCAACCAACCAACCTTGCATGCATTAGTAGCTATTGACTCAAAAACTGAGAAAAAAAATAAATATAACACATTAATGAGACAAGCCCCAAATACCTCCAAATTTATAACCCTCCTGCCTCAGTCTCTTGAGAACTAGGATTAAGTCCCCTTTTTAACCTGCTGTATTTTTTCCTTCTTTTCTGAGAATCTGAAGCTGTCTGAACATCTCTCAGGACCTTACTACTCTGATTAAACTGTGTTTCTTAAAATTTATTAATGAAAAATGGGCTAAAGAGCCAAACAGAGAATTCACAAAACAAGAATCACAAATGGCTGAAAGACATTTAAAGAAATGCTCAACATCCTTAATTATCAGAGAAATGCAAATCAAAACGACTCTGAGATACCACCTTACACCTGTCAGAATGGCTAAGATCAAAAACACTAATGACAGTCAGTGTTGGAGAGGATGTGGAGCAAAGGGAACACTCCTCCACTGTTGGTGGGAGTGAAAGCTTGTACAACCACTGTGGAAATCAGTATGGCGGTTTCTCAGAAAATTAGGAATCAAACTACCTCAAGACCCAGCCATACCACTCTTGGGCATACACCCAAGGAACGCTGATTCAAACCACAAAGATACATGCTCAGCTATGTTCATAGCAGGATTATTTGTAATAGCCAGAACCTGGAAACAACCTAGATGCCCGTCAACTGAAGAATGGATTAAGAAAATGTGGTACATAAACACAATGCAGTACTACTCAGCAGAGAAAAACAATGACAGCATGAAATTTGCAGGCAAATGGATGGAACTAGAAAAAATCATCCTGAGTGAGGTAACCCAAACCCAGAAGGACAAACATGGTATGTACTCACTCATAAGTGGATTCTAGATATAAAATAAAGAACAATCAGACTACAACCCACACACACAAAAAAATTATTAAATTATTATTTGTTGTGTATATTACATGTATGTGTGCTGGATAGTTTCATGTCAGCTTGACACAAGCTAAAGTCATCTGAGAACCTCAATTAAGAAAATGCCTCCATAAGATCAGGCCATAGGCCAGGCGGTGGTGGTGCACGCCTTTAATCCCAGCACTCAGGAGGCAAAGGCAGGTGGATCTTTGTGAGTTCGAGGCCAGCCTGGTCTACAGAGCAAGATCCAGGAAAGGCGCAAAGCTACACAGAGAAACCCTGTCTCGAAAAACCAAAATAAATAAATAAATAATCTTTAAAAAAAAAAAAAAAGGTCAGGCCATAGACAAGTCAACCAGGGCAGTGGTTCTCAACATCCTAATGCTGTGACCCTTTAACACAATTCTCACGTTGTGGTGACTCACAAACATAAAATTATTTTTGTTGCTACTTCATAACTGTAATTTTGCTACTGTTATGAATCGTAATGTAAATATTTTTGGAGATAGAGGTTTGCCAAAGGGTTTGACCCACTGGTTGAGAACTACTGCTCTGGGGCATTTTCTTAATTAGTGATTCGGGGGGGGGGGGGGCAGCCCACTGTGGGTGATGCCATCCCAGGGCTAGTGGTTCTGGGTTCTTATAGCAGAGTGAAGAAGCCATGGGGCAAGCCAGTAAGCAGCACTCCTCCATGGCTTCTGTATCAGCTCCTGCCTCCATTTTCCTGTCCTGTTTGAGTTCCTGTCCTGACATCCTTCAATGATGAACTACAACATAGAAGTGTAAGCAAAATAACCCCTCCTCTCCAACTTGCTTTTGATCATGGTGTTTCATCACAGCAATGGTTACCCTAACTAAGACTGTGTGTGTGTGTGTGTGTGTGTGTGTGTGTGTGTGTGTGTGTGCGCGCTATGGTGTGCACGTAGCAGTCAGAGGATGGCTTTTGGGACAGCCACGTCCACCTTAGAGATCAAGCTCTAGTCCTCGGGTTTGATAGCAAATGATGAGCCATTTTACTATGAAATTTTTTTATAAATCTTTGACAATCATTTTAGACATGAACACAATGTTATAACAGAGCACAGTCTGTTCTGCCTGTTGACTTGTAATCTCTTTCCTAGTATTTGAGTTGTTGGATATCTATCATCCATGTGGTGGGGCAGTAAGAACAAGCTTTCTCCTTCATGGCAAGCTATGAAGTTCTTTGATTTGCTCTAAAACAGCCCCCTCCCCCCAACACTGTTCAGGATGAAACCAAGAGTCTAGCCTGAAGGCTCGCTACAGTTGGCAGGGCAGGGTCTGCTGAGAGCAAGTCATAAATTCTTGATTATCTGGCTGGATGAGTGAGGCCAGGTACTAACAGGAACTCCACACCCTCTATTCTTAGGTGGCCTAACATTTGTTCTCACAATAAACACGACCTATAGAACAACCTTCCAAAGTGAGTGACAACAACATTTAGAATGAAGAGGCTAGCTGGTCAACAGGCAAGGGTGAACCGGGCGGTGGTAGCGCATGCCTTTAGTCCCAGCACTCGGGAGGCAGAGCCAGGCGAATCTCTGTGAGTTCCAGGCCAGCCTGGGCTATAGAGCGAGATTCAGAACAGGCACCAAAACTACACAGAGAAAGAAACCCTGTCTCGGAAAACCAACCAACCAAACAAACCAAAAACAAGCAAGGGTGGAGATGGATAACGATAAACAAAGCATGGCTGGGGTCTTCTTAAACACTCAAGAGCTAAACTTTAAGACTCCAGCTACAGGAGCTGAAGAGGTGGTGCAGAGGTTTAAGAGCGCTTACTGATCTGACAGAGGACCCAGGTTCAATCCCAGCACCCACATTAGGCGGCTCACAACCACTGTGACCCCAGTTCCAGGAGAGCCAATGCCCTTCTCTGGTCTCCACAGGCACTGCACACACATGGAACACATACAGACAAGCACACACACACACAAATAAAAAAGCTCCAGTTCTGGGCCAGTCTTTCTTATTGCTTTCCTAAGTCTGCTGCTGAGAATCTAAATAGTCCTGCCCCGACGCTGAAAGGAAGAATCCAGATCTCCACGTCACCTGTGCTTCCCAGCAGCCTTTGGCAGCATAGTCCCTGAGTTTCCGGAAGTTGTGGAGGTATCGTCCAGGATCAGACATCTGCCAACAAGAGAGTCACCCTTACATGGCTGTGTCCTGTGAGGGACTCAGACCTGCCCCACGGCTTCCTAAATGCTTTCTCCCTCATTCTTCAACTTCACTGGCTTCCCCAACATTTACCCCCCAATAATGGTAGTCTTTGGAGGACATTTGATAGTAAACGGCTCCACGCTCAGATGAGCCGAAAAGGCCCAAGAGCCTAGGGTCCAAGAAAGCATCCTCCCTTTTGTTAACCAAATTTCATCCCAGGACCACACAAAACTGTTCCTATGAGGTCTATCCCCCAATAGACGAGGCTCTACTTACATCCATCTTTCTCTCACTTTCCCAAAGGAGGTATGAGCTGGCCAAGCATCCCTGATGAGCAGACTCTTCAAAAAGGGTGTGAGCCTGCTTCCTTTTCTCTTCGTCCTGGAGTATAAGACCAAGCACAGAGGGTTCTTTCTCACCTTCTGCACAATGCCAAATCATTCTGAGAGCTGTCCTCTTTCTATACCTCTAAGCAATCACATTCGGAGCGATAGTGGATGGATTAACTACATCTGAGGAAGAAGGGATGCCACTAAGCATACAGTGCTCAACAACTAACCAATGGCATACAGCCTCGGGGCTCTGCGTCCTCATTAGTGTGGGGGCAGCTCTGGCATACAAAGCCTACATTCACCCTTGCTGTCACAGGAAACTCCTTAAACATCATGAATGGTGGTACTGGTGGCTCTCAGTGTTCATCTGCCTCACTTGTCTTCCACATCCTTTTGATGTGTTCACTGGAAGCTACTACTTGCTCTAAACCCGCAAAAGGGGCCCACAGACCACAAAGCCCGTTAAAAACCTCAAGAGGCGAGAATTCTGCAAGGCCCACCAATAGGAGAGCCATGTGAGGATCCCGTCAGCACTGGCTGCCCAGCTCCTGGTGGTCTACTCTCCGGGCTCTTATTTATGAGGTCCCATTCACCTCCCTCAAAAGTAGCGTGGGGGGAGCCAGGAGCTCTATGCCAAGGACCACTCAGGGCAGGGCCTGGTGTTTGCATTGACCTTGGACATTCTCTTTTGCAGCTTTTCAAGTACTTTGTGGATCTAGGCCACTGAAAGGTGAAATAAGGCAAAGCCTGAGCAGAGAGAAAAACTTAACTTACCTCAAAAAGATTTAGCACTCTTCCCAAGCAGTGTAGTATGGAAGCTTTATGAGTCTTAAAAAAAAAAAAAAAAAGTAAGTATGATTCTCAGCAGACAGAACTCTCCCCTGTCCTGCTGTCCAGATCCCTACACTACCACTTCCTGATTTCAGTTTTCAGCTATGGATGTTTTATTCAGCCTAAATCTTTAGTTTCCACCCACCAACATGTTCACCAAGATCTTGGTCCTCATCCCAGACCCTAAGACCTTCCACCACATCCGTTCAAGACGTCTCCTACATCTGCACTGCCTTCGCCTCGGGAGTACGTCCAGCATGCTAGGCGGAAGCTCCACCACTGAGCAAACTCCCAGTCCTGCACTCAGTTTTGTGTACCTCCCACTTCTTGTCTTTACATGGTCCATGGAAACTACTTCAGGTTTCCCTCCGTTCGGGGACTCTATGCCCTGTGGGCTTTGCCAGGACTTACTCTTTGTAATTGGCACTCTGCCCTGAGGCTGTCGTGGACCACGGCCTTGCAGCAACTTCCAGATGCTGACCATGGTGGGCGGATGAAGAGCCAGATGAAGGGCTCAGAACCCATATTCAATTTCTCAGCCATACTGAAGAAGCGAGAGGCCTTCAGGCCGTTCACTTCAGCACAGGCCTCATCTGACACAGACACTATGGGAGAAACAGGACAAACCCATGATGCCTCTGGGACATGGAAAGAGCAAAGATCTCCAGTCTTTTAGCAAAGCCTGACAGTGCAAAGCTTTGAACAGAAGAGCTCTGTGGGATGGGGCTTCAAATTCTCCCCGCTTTGTTCAGGTAATCCTAGATACACAGGCCCCTCCTGGAGTCCTTCGGGAAGCCTGGATTGTGACCCTTAGGGGATGGTGCTCCCACACACACAGCCTCAACCTTCCTCCTGGAGGGAAATGACCCTGCAGATGGCTGGAAGGAAGGTCTCTCTCTCTCTCTCTCTCTCTCTCTCTCTCTCTCTCTCTCTCTCTCTCTCTCTCTCCCTCTCCCCCTCCCCCTCTCCCTCTCCCTCTCTCTCTCCTCATCATCATGTGGACCAGGCTGAGAAAAGGTTCTTTCTCTCTCTTTTGGTTTTTTTGAGACAAGGTTTCTCTGTGTAACAGCTCTGGCTGTCCTGGAAGGGAAAAGGTTCTCTTAAGGACGAGACTGTTCTAAAATGAGATCAGCAAGGGTTACACAACCCTAGGAAAATACAAAAACAAAACAAACCACCACCAATCATGAACTTGCACACTGCAGGCAGCTGAATGACCTCTGGGAATGGCTAACTGATAGGAGGGGAGGGGCAGAACCTCAGTTCCACCTCAGAAAGAGCAGGTTACTCACAGGCTCTCAGTCCTAATAGTCCTGTTAGCTGGCCAAGGACAGGGACTACCTGCCAGCAAGACACCAGAGCTTTAAGATGCAGGAAAAGGTGATTCTATACTCTAACCGTTACACATTTTGGAGACTGGGACAGCACAGCCAAGGCTCCTTCCTCTGGTGCTGAGCAGAGAAGCAAGCCAAAAGCCTTTTAAGGAGCAGCTAGCCCTGGGCAAAAGGACTCAGGCTCCAGGCAAGCTCTGCTGCCTGCCACATGGAACTATGGCTGCCTGTGTCAGTGATCCCCTGCAGTATGAGGCATGCTGATTTCTTTCCAAGCTCCACAGGATGGCCAAGGAAAGAAGCTATTTACATCCCTGCATAGGCCTTGGTGTTACCTGTACTGAAGGCAGGGCACTTCAGGAGATACCCCTTGCTGACCCAAATGAGGGAAAGAGGTGACTTTCTTAGAACCTATATCAAACTGTCAAGGGCAGACATGGGGCCGACCATCAGCAAGAACTAAGCTGCTAAATCTTGAAAGAGGCTTGTGCTTATCTCAAATGCCACCACACGTCAGGGCCCAGGGACTTACAGCCTTCATTATAGAGGTAGGCGATTCCCAACTTCACAGCAGCTTCAAAATTTCCCTTTTCAGCAGCCCTGGAGCAATAAGAGCATAAATACCACACTATTTTAGGTCACAAACATTATGTACCACCACGGCACTTGACGCTGAAATACTTATTTCCTAATTGAATATTTTTTCATGAAATATAATCACATACTGTTTATTGATTGCATGCTACAATGTGGATGAACCTTGACAACCCTAGGCCAATCATAAAAGGTCAAGTATTCCATGATTCTGTTTACAAGAGATGTCTACAATTAGCAAACCCAGAGACAGAAATAGATAATGGATTGCCTAGGGCTTCTGTGGTTGGGGAGTGGGGGGTGGGGGGTGGGGGGAGACAATGCCTGCTAAAGAGTACACGATTTCTTTGTAGGATGATAAAAATAATCTAAGGTGAACAGTGCTAAGCTTGTAGAACTGTGAATACTCTAAAACCCAACAAGCTCTACCTGTAACTCCAGTTCCAGGGCATCCAGCCCCCTCTTCTGGCATCTGTGGGCACTACATACAGATAGTGCAAATATACACATGCAAGCCCTCACACACGCATGCATAAAAATAAACAAACTCTTAAAAAATTTATTTATGTGCATTGGTGTTTTGCTTGCATGTATATCTGCATGAGGGTGTCGGGTCCCCGGGAACTGGATTACAGACAGTTGTGAGCTGCCATGTGGGTGCTGGGAATTGAACCTGGGTCCTCAATAAGAACAGGCAGTGCTCTTCACTGCTGAGTCATCTCTCCAGTCCCCAAATAAATAAATCTTTAAAAGAAAAAGAAATACACAAATTTTATCCAGCAGCAACCCAAGCACTGGAGTTCTCATCCTGCACTTCTCCGGCAGCTCAAGCCTGGGAAATAAATGCTCGTGAGGCAAATCCTGTCCTGAGTTAGTTTCTCAGGTGTGAAAAGGCTCAAGCTTAGACCCCTGTTCCAAGGACATGCTCTATCTTTAACCTCCATTAGCGGGCCTGGTCACTGGCACCCAGGGTCACAGATCTAGGCTTGCTGCCTCCCTCGCCCCCAGTCCTTTCTCTCAGTCACGACTACAGAGAAGGGGTGAGTCATCCAGCGACCGAAATATAACAGGAAAGGAAAAGAAAGCTGAATAAGGCTTCCATGAGCAGGTGACTCACACCCGAGTCAATCGGGACCCTCTAGAAGCAGCGCAGGCACAGAGGACAGGCAATGACATGGCTTGCTGGAAGCAGTGTGACTCAATAGACAGGTTTCTTCAGTCTGGGGTCTCTTCCCCGGGATGAGGGCAACAGGAAAACAGGTCCTGACTCAGCTATGGGGACATTCGCCAGCACACCAAGAATACCAATGGCAGAGGGAAATCAAGGCACTTCTCAGAGCACTGGGATACCTTTCAAAGAGCTTCAGGTTCTTCGGAGAAGGCCACAGCTCTTGGAAGCTGGCAGATGCCCACACACTGGCATGGTTGTCCACCAGGTACTTCAGGTGGGAGTGTACCTGCAGAGCAATGAGAGCCGTGTGTGAATCACCAAGGGACTCCCCAGATCCTTGCTCCTGAAGATGGGACATACACAGACACACCAGTCTCAGAACGGTAAAGAACCCAGTTTCTATGTATGAAAACAGCACTGTTTTCTATAGGAAAGAGAAGTCAGAAGTGAGTTTCTCTGATGTTCTGAGGCGGGGTAAGAATACCGGCACCAGTCCAAAGAACAAGCACCAAGGTTAAGAAAGAGAAGAACTCAGCATGCTAGTGCACACCTGTAATCTCAGCAGTCAGAAGGCAGACACGGGCACATCTTTGTGAGTTCCAGGCCAGCCAGGGGACACAGTGCGGTGACTGTCAAAGGGAGGGACGGAGGGCAAGAAGGAAAGACACTTTCGCAAAGAACTAGAGAAATAGGTTGGTGCCAGGCAGGACAGAAATTTGTTTTTTGCCTGGCGGTGGCAGCGGCGGTGGCGCCACGTATTTAATCCCAGCACTCAGGAGGTAGAGACAGGCAGATCTCTGAGTTCAAGGCCCGCCTGGTCTACAGAGTGAGTTCTAGGACAGCCAAGGCTACACAGAGAAACCCTGTCTCAAAAAAAAAAAAAAAAAAAAAAAAAAAAAAGGGAAGAAAAGAAAGAAAAAATAAATTTGTCTTCTATTTCTCTGCCTGGTACCCTGGTGGTGGAGCAGTCTGGGGCATGGAAGTTACAGGAACTCAAAGGAAAAAGACTGAGTCCCGAGAGCCTCTGTCCCAGGCAGATAAGGCCAAGTCAAGAGCAGCACAGGCAAGCATTTTACATCCTAACGTTTCCACTGCAGTTGGGGATTTAGCACCCGGTGCTTCTGTAGGTATTGTGCCAATAGTGGATGTGACTAGAGGAGTCCTACAAAGGCCTCCTGGCTGGTGTTTACAGCCAGTTTACTGTATACTCTACGGTGAATCATTTAATGTGAAGCTATGGCTACAAAGTAACTCAAGTCCACTCCGGCATTGCAGGTTACACGGGATTTGTCTTAAAGGGCTTTTTGTTTGTTTTATTCTGCCTTTTTTTTTTTTTTTTAAAGATAGTCTTACTATCTTGCCTACGGCACAACTTAAATTGTGGGTCATATAACTGAACATAGAGGTACAAAAAACTTGCCATATTCAAAGATTTCTGAACATGCAAAAACCAAAATTTAATTGAACTGAGGTGTTTCTGACATGCTGTATCGCATGACTTCACCGCAGAATTGGTTCTGAACACACAACACATACAGGTGCACCATGCAGGCTATAGTCAATAATGCTGCCTGAAATACCTTGTGCAGTTTTCTGCTCTAATAGAAACATAACCATTGGATTTGATACACAAAGACTTTTCATATTTACCTAATACCATTTCCTCAGCATATAATTATCAAACTAGTACCTCTTTGGATTGTAGTCTTGGAATGTTTGGTTTTTAAAATTGCTCCCGAAGCCGGGCAGTGGTAGTGCACTCCTTTAATCCCAGCACCTGGGAGGCAGAGGTACTTGGATCTCTATGAGTTTGACAACAGCCTGGACTACAGAGTGAGTTCCAGGATAGCCAGGGCTACACAGAGAAACCCTGTCTTGAAAAAAGACAAAACAAAACAATAAAAAAATGGTCTTGAGGCTGCTGAGTCCAGTTTTATAAAACAAAAATCCCTAAATGAAGGGACAGGAGAGGTGGCTCAGTGGTTAAGAGCACTTGCTTCTCTTGCAGAGGACCTGGGTTCAGTTCTCAGCACCGATATAGTGGTTCAAAGTCACTCCTAACTCAAGTTCCAGAGGTCTCAATGATACCTCCTTGGGCAGGAGGTATGCATATGGTACAAATACAGACATGCCAGCAAAATAAATACATAAAATAAAATTACATATGTATACACACACACATATATTTAATTGGTATTTAAATTGTTAAATTTTGTCTTAAGACAGAATTTCTAAACAAAACAAAACAAACCCCTGAAAGGGCCCTAAACAAATTTCTGCTGCCACTCCCACCCCGGCTTTTAGAGACAGGTCTCTCTCTATAGTCCTGCCTGTCCTAGAACTTGCTGTGTAGACTAGGCTAGCCTCAAACCAACAGAGATCCTCCTGCCTTCTGTCTCCAAGCGCTGAGATTAAAGGCGTGCACCATCATGCCCAGCTCTATTTCCGCCATTTAAAAATTCTTATTAACACTATCTTACTCCTATTTATTTGGTTTTATTTGTATTTTACCTGCATGTATGTGTGTACCGCATGTATGCCTGGTGCCTGAGGAGATCAGAAGAAGTATTAGATCCCCTGGAACTGCAGTTATATGGCTATTAGCCTCTATGTGGGTTCTGGAAACTGAACCCTGGTCTTCTGAAAGAATAGGCAGTGCTCTTAACTGCTGAGCCCCCTCTCCAGCCCACTGTCTTCTCTTCTTGAGATGCAAATTTTACTGCCATAAAAGGGTCTTTTTTCCTCTTGAAATAAACATTGCAATGAGTCATGTCAAATCCCAGTATGTAGTCCCTATAACAGAATCATCTTCAAACACCTATTAACAATACCACCTTTTTTTTTTTCTCGAGACAGGGCTGTAGACCAGGCTGGTCTTGAACTCACAGAGATCCGCCTGCCTCTGCCTCCTAAGTGCTAGGATTAAAGGTGTGCGCCACCACTGCCTGGCCTAATATTACCCTTTTTTGACAGGCACAATGCTGAATCCTACCATGAGAGGTACAAACAGGAGGATCAGGAGTTCAAGGTCACTCTTGGCTACACAGGTACTTTGTGACCATCCTGAGCTTTGTGACCATCCTGAGCTAAGTAAGACACTGTCACTTCCCCAGGAAGAGCTGGGTAAAGTGGTACCTATAGGTAACCCCAACATTCTAGAGGTAGAGGTTGGAGGATCAGGAGAATTTAAGAGCAGTCTTGACTACTTGAGACTCTATTTCTTTCTTTCTTTTTTTTTTCTTTTTTTTTTTTTTTGTTTTTCAAGACAGGGTTTCTCTGTGTAGCTTTGGAGCCTGTCCTGGATCTCACTTTGTAGACCAGGCGGACTCGAACTCACAAAGATTCGCCTGGCTCTGCCTCTCAGTGCTGGGATTAAAGGCGTGTGCCGCCAACGCCCGGCTGAGACTCTATTTCAACCAATCAACTAATAAAACTACTCTTGGGGAGAGGAGACACTGCCAGCCGCCATCAGGACAAGAAAGATGTAAAGTACCGAGTAAGATACATCAGTTTTGACCAGCCAAGACCCCCTGAAAGGTCTCCGATGACACCATGGCCCAGATGATCCAACATCCAGAACCGTTTCAAGGCAACTGGCTCAGATGATACAGCCTCACGGACTACTCCGTGATCCTAAAATTTTCTTTGTTTCCCCAGAAGATACAGCGCCCCCCTCCAGCAGGAAGTAGTAAAAAAAGCTACGCCCAAATTCCCAAATATACCAAGCTGACTTTAAAGATGTGTAAAGGTTAAAACCTTCCTTTTTAAGAAAAGAAAAGGGAAAGTGCTGTGGGATGGTCTGTATGTCAAATGTGTTGCTGATTGGTCAATGAATAAATCACTGATTGGCAGTGGCCAGGCAGGAAGTATAGGCGGGACTAACAGAGAGAAAAATTGAGAGAACAGGAAGCTGGGAGGGGAGACACTGCCAGCCGCCATCAGGCAAGGTATAGATTAATAGAAATGGATTAATTTAAGCTGTAAGAACAGTTAGCAAGAAGCCTGCCACGGCCATACAGTTTGAAACCAAAAAAAAAAAACAAAAACTACTCTTGGGGCTGGAGAGCTATCTCAGCAGTTAAAAGCACTCCCTCTGTTCCAGAGGACCTGGGGTTCAGTTCCTAGCACCCATAGGCAGCTATATATATATATATATATATATATACCCTCTATAACTCCAGTCCCAGGGGATCAGATGCCCTCTCCTGCCCTCTGCAGGCGCGTGGTGCAGACAGACAGGCAGACAGAATACCCATATACATAAAATCAAAAAACAAACCTTTAAAAAAATAAAACCACCGTTTCCTTGGGTTTCCTTTTGAGTCAAAGTTTTATACTAACATTTAAGAACGTGAGACTGTTACAGTTTAACCAACAATATTTGGACTGGTATTGTTTCCATATGGTGACTTACAGCTCGGACAGCAAGGATGTCCCCAACAGAAAGCCATTTCAGGATATGAAAGAGTACATCTTCTGGGAGACTCAAGATGGTTAAGTTTCGGGGTCTTCTTTTGATTCTTCGCTTGGTAGGATAGCAGAAACACTTGGCACACCTACAATGGATCACTTAAGGAAAAAAATCCACAAGCCTTGGTGAGATGAAAAGTTGTACGTGCATAAAGATGATTTAATAGTTACTGTCCTTTATTCACAGAAAGAACAAGTCCTAAAATTAAATAAAGTGTACTCTATGAATTATTTAAGATATCACTGTTCCTTCAATATCCAGTAAACACTCATGGTGAATATCAGATAGCACGTAATTGAATATTGGAAACTTTCTGATTCAGGATTCACATGACAACCAGAAGGAAGGGAAAGCAGCCAATACTGATGAACATTTGAGTGAAAACTCAACCAAGTACTTCGGGGGCCTGAGAAATGGCTCAGTAGTGAATGCGAGGCTCAAACCAGTCAACAGGGTCCCTTGGACTTTTGCTGTATATTTTTGCTTCTTGTTTTGTTTCTTTTTTTTTTTTTTTTTTTTTTGTTTTGTTTTGTTTCTTGAGACAGGGTCCTCTGTAGCCCAGGCTGACCTCCTCAAATTCACTCATATAGTTGAGGCTGCCCTTGAACTCCTGATCCTCCCTTCCTCTACCTACCAAATACTGAATTACAAGTGTTAGTCACCATGCCCAGCCTACTTTGCTTATATTTGCACATGCGACTAAAAAGCATAATGTTCAGTATGGACCTAGGAACTTCAATAGCATAGATTGGGAACTCAAATAAATAGGGCAGCTCTGCAGAACATAGAAGCCAGTCAGTCCTAGAGCAGGTCTCAGCTTGGCAGACGTCAGTGTGGCCCAGTCCCCGAACCCAGAGGTTTGCTACACTCAGCATACAGTGAAAATTGCAACATAAGATCTAGCTCAGAGGTTCTCAACCTTCCTAACGCTGTGACCCTTTAATACAGTTTTCATGTTGTGGTGACCCCAACCATAAAATTATTTCGTTGCTACTTCATAACTGCAATTTTGCTACTGTTATGAATCGTAATGTAAATATCTGATATGCAACTCCTGTGAAAGGATCGTTTGCCTCCAAAGGGGCCGCGACACACATGTTGAGGACCGCTGGTCTAGATGCACACAGCCCCTGGACCCAGTCATGCTCTTCGAGGCTCTCTCTTCCCAATTCCCTACAGTGAGTTATTCCAATGTTTATTTCAGCAATCCAATCTTCATCCAGCGCTGATGGCTTTTCTCTTTATTTCACAAGCCCCCGCTCCTCTTTAGAAATCTTAAGGTCCTGCCTCCCTGTCTATAAATGCATCTGTCTTTCTACCCATTTTTCCTCCTCCCACTAAGGCAAAGTAGCTATTCCCCGGGCCTTGGTAAAGCTCTCCACCTGGAGGTCTTTAGAGACTGCCCACTCCCAAACTCTTGACCTGAGTTTTATCGGAAACTAAATGTACTGCAAAAGCCAAATGCATACCCAGAGCTATAATTCCCAAATATTCTACGAATATTATTAAACAGTTTCCTGATTCACCTGCTCTAGAATACACATCTGAAGTGTTTAACCACTGTAACAAGTGAAATCGCACCCCCAGGTCGTGAGACGTTTTCACAGGACAGATCCTGTTGCCTCCGCGGATTCAAGCTGCGGGCGCGACAACCAGGTGATCAAACTGCCCGCAAGAGCCTGGACAAGACGTGAAATCGATCTATATTGTGGGGATCGCTCTTGATTTCACAGAAAAGTGAAATCGAGTTTGCTGGGCAGAGAACCTAAATCGCCCCGGGGTAACAGGAGGCGTAGGCGCCGGGCGGGCATTTAAACCGCGCCGGCGGGCTCACAGTGGGGGATCCGTGCCTACTCCCTGCTTTGGGGGAATACGACGCGCCCTCCCGAGTCATAGGGGCCCGAGTCAGGACCCATCGCCTGCCCGGCTCCCGCCAGCACTCACCACCGCCGCTCCCCATCGCCGAGCTCACGCCACTGCCGCTCCAGACCGCTCGCGAGCGCGCCCGCGCCTGGGGCAAGTGCGCCGAGCGCCGTACGCAGGCGCCGACCCCACCCCGCCCCGTTTTCAAACGCGCCCGGAGCTCCTACTGGTAGGACCACGGAGTTACGCCCCCCAGGTCGCCAGCCTCTCCCGCCCCGCAGACTCTGGGCCCTTGTGATTGGCTTCTCCAGGACGCAAATTCAAACGCTGATTGTCTATTGGCTTATCGCTCGTGGCTAACCCGCCTTCTCCGCTGGGCGGGGGACAGGGAGAAGAGCAGCTGGCGCCGGCGGGCTATCCCAAAAAGCCCGCCTGGACCCAGAGAGAAATCTCCCTCCTATACTTGTCCGATCCTCTGGGAATCGGTCACGAGTGCGTCCACCCGGCAGTATTACCTGTCCCTCCCATACGAACTTCCGGCCAAGGAGACTGGATTTGGAGACGCCAATTCAAGCGCTGATGTGGAGATTGCGGAGGCCGGGCTCCGATCTCCCGCAAAATGTTCTACCCTACATCCTGTGAATCGGGGTTCGCATTGTGCCGGGCAGCTGCAGTCACGTTCCGCTGAACCGTCTATTCACTCGTGTATTGAGTAGTGAGCAGTATCATGTCCCACCTCTTCATGAGATGACCTGCCGGGAAAAGAAATGAGTCTATGGAGAGTGCGGAGGCCAGAGCAAGGAACTGGCCCATGCTTCTCCACACAGCTTGTACCAGCCTTCATACCCTCTCCCCACAGCCCCACATGATTACTGGATCCCTTGGGGTACCTGGCCTGTGCTGGAAGCTGCATGTCAAGACCTCTTGTCGGTCTGAGGCAGTAAATAGGGGATTGCTGTTCATAGCACAGAATATTAGAGAACTCTAGGGCAAGACTTGGGGTCTGCTTCCCATGGCTGCTGATTCCCATGCAGAATCCTCACACTTAACTCCTGTCTCCTTTCCAGGATAGATTACTGTTTCCCCGCTTCGCTACTTTTTGTCTTCTCCCTTTGAACTTTGTTACTTTGTTATCTGTCCTTGGGGCAGAAGCGCCAATATGCTTTTGGTAGTAATTGGACAGGATAAAAAAATTAAATTCAGCGGGGCAGTGGTGGCTCATGCCTTTAATCCCAGCACCCGGGGGCAGAGCCAGGCAGATCTCTGTGAGTTCGAGGCCAGCCTGGTCTACAGAGCGAGGTCCAGGACAGACACCAAAACTACATGGAGAAACCCTGTCTCGAAAAACAAAACAAAACAACAACAACAAAAAAACCAAAAAAAAGAAACAAAAAAAAATTAAATTCAACAATGAGCAAGTCAGCTGTCAGTCACATCTCAGAGATCCCTAACAATATCTCTGTCCCCTGGTTACTCATAGTTACAAAGTCATCAATTGGCTTTTTAGCTCTACCTTATTCTTTGTATCCTACTCAGTTTCTCTTATTTATTCTGAGGTCGTTTTTGTTAGTTTTGATAAAGCATTGCCTCATGTCTTAATTAGCTTCAGCTGTCAACCTGACACTGCTTAGAATCCTGTGAGGGAGACTCAATGGCAGGATTGCCCAGATGTAGCAGGCCCGAGCACGGCAAACATGACACAGGCAGGTCTTGCTCTTTCTCCTTTCCTCTGCCTTGCTAAACCGTTAGATTACATTCCTAAAGCTAGCCCCAAGGTCCGTTCCCTTATTTGGCCACTGACTAATTCCTGAGACAGATCACTAAGGTCCAACCATCAAAACATGTCTGTGGGGGACTGGTGTGATTGATGGGTGAGAGGGTTCAGCCCACTATGGGTGGTATGATCCATAGGTAGACGGACCTAGGCTATATAAGAAAGCTAGCTGAGCATGCTCTTGCCTTGAGCTCCTGCTCTAACTTCCTTCAGTGATGGACTGTGACCTAGAAGTGTAAGACAAATAAATTGTTTTTGGTCATGGTGTTTGTCCCAGCAACAGAAAGCCAACTAGAGCACCCCATGTGGCACCTACAGCTTGAGGTCTGTCCTACTCCAGCTTCCTGAATGTTGGATTACAGCTGTGTACCACTTCACCTGGCCAAATCTTTTTATGCTTTAGGAACCAGATGTTTTCTTTGCTGTAGATCTGATTGATCATGCTGGCCCACTAGGGGTAACCTAGGCTAAGGGCTACTCCTACAGAGTGTGAGGTATACCCACTCACATTGGGCTTTGAGGGATGAGAGAGTTCAGGAAAGTCTGCTCTTGGGAGCTGAAGATTGAAGGACCCGTGTACTGCAGGGTGCTCCCCTCTGGACCCGGGATTAGGCACAGACCACACCCAAACACCAATTTCCAAATACAAACCAAACATAAAGAGATCCTTTATTAAGCAAGGCAAAGAAACATGTTGGCTGAATCTGAACTGGGTAGAAGCTATGGCAAATAGCTGTTAATTTTAAGAGAGAAAAGGGGGAGGTCTGTGTTAGAAGAGCTAAGACAAATATAAGTTCTGATTGGGCATTTTAATTAGGTTAGTCAAAATAATGAATTTTGATTGCGAGACCTTGGTGTTTTGATAGTTGGACCTTAGTGATCAGTCTCAGGAATTAGTCAGTGGCCAAATAAGGGAACGGACCTTGGGGCTAGCTTTAGGAATGTAATCTAATGGTTTAGCAAGGCAGAGGAAAGGAGAAAGGGCAAGACCTGCCTGCGTCATGATTGCCCTTGGCTTAATTAAACTTTAGTTGAAGGCCTGGGGGGTGGATGAGGAAAGACTCAAGGATGGCAGGCTACAGGAGCAAAAGTTAAGAATTATGGGATCTGCTTGGCGGTGGTAGCACACACCTTTAGTCCCAGCACTCAGAAGGCAGAGCCAGGCGAATCTCTGTAAGTTCGAGGCCAGCCTGGTCTACAGAGTGAGATCCAGGACAGGCACCAAAACAACACAGAGAAACCCTGTCTCCAAACCCCCCCCCCCAAAAAAAAAGAAAAGAAAAGAATTATGAAGACCCCGAGGAAGTTCACCAAGCAGAAAGAGGAAGAGGAGCCCTGAGAGGAGGCTGGAGGGAGCATGAAGTGTGGTGAAGCCTAAGGAGGTTTCCATTATGGAGGATCAGGAATATTGTGAAGTTCTACAGAAGAGTCACCTGAAAATAGATCAAGAAACCATCTAATATGGCAGCTAGGGCTATGCTGATGCTATTGCTTTGGGGAAGGAGCTGTAGGGACTGTGAGAAAGGTAAGCATGGCTAAGAATGAACTTCTGCATTAGGGGTAGGGGAGCTAAGGGCCAGGATACCTTCCACAGCCAGGATCTTTGATAGAGTTCTTCTCAGAAAGAAGACATCCTCCACATGACAAATGTACACAGATGCACCCACCCATGAGCATGGCCACAGCAATTGTCTTAGCTGTGCCTGAACATCTGAGACAGTGCTGTTAACACCACAGCTTGCCTGGGCCCCAATCCAGAGGCCACTAGCTGCCGACTCAGAAGGCCCGGAGTGGCCTGTAGTGGTTTGAACAAGAATAGCCCCCAAAGTCTCATGTTTGAATATGTCATCCCCAGTTGGTGGAACTGTTTGGGCAGGATTAGGAGGTGTGGTCTTGTTGGAAGAGGTGTGTTACTGGGGGTGGGCTCTGAGGTTTCAAAAGCACAGTGCTATTCCCGGTTTGCTCTCTTATGGATCCATAAGCTTCATGCTTATGGATTAAGACGTAAGTGCTCGGCTGTGGCTCCAGTGCTATGCCATGTTGTGGAATATTCCTTTATGATGTGTGAAGATGTGTCACTGTGATTGGTTTAATAAAAAACTAACCGGGCGGTGGTGGTGCACGCCTTTAATCCCAGCACTCGGGAGGCAGAGCCAGGAGGATCTCTGTGAGTTCGAGGCCAGCCTGGACTACCAAGTGAGTTCCAGGAAAGGCGCAAAGCTACACAGAGAAACCCTGTCTCGAAAAACCAAAAAAAAAAAAAAAAAACAACTAAATGGCCAATTAGGTAGGCTGGAGGTATAGGCAAGACTTCTGGACAGAGAGAGCTCTGGGAAGAAGAAAGGGGAAGTTGCCAGCCTGACACAGAGGAAGCAAGACCTGCAGGAGGAGAGGTAAAAGCCATGAGTCACTGGGCAACGTGTAGATGAATACAAATGAGTTAATTTAAGTTATAAGAGCTAGTGGGACAAGCATAAGCTAAGGCTGAGCTTTCATAATAATGTCTCAGTACTTGGGGAAGGAGCCGTCTCCGTGGGACTCGACCAGAACGGACCTGAACATACTGCCCAAGGCCAACCCAGGGCCCAGCTGCCGATCCTGCAAAGCCCAACAACTTGGAGGTGTTGGTGAGATTGCCCTACTGATCAACCTGTTCAGCTGGGATCCATTCAGGAGAGGTTTCAGAAGCCTGCAGCCTTCAGTCTGAGGAAATAAGGTCAGCTGAGGAGTTGATGAATGAGCAAAACGAGACCTGAGAATGCAAGAGAAGGAGCCGTGCAGCCACCGAACTAGATCACCAGAATCATAAGCCCACCCTACACTGACTGGGGACAGGTAAGGTCCCATCTCCGAACTGGCAGACCAGATCTCTATCCCCTAGGTCCCAGCCATCAGAGCCCCAGGGACCAGGCAGCTACCTTTCCCTGCTCCCTCACACACACACACACACACACACACACACACACAAAAACAAAAACAAAAAACAAAACAAACAAAAAACCAGCCCCTGCGAACCCAACAACCACTGGAACCATAAGCACACCCTGCACCAATTGGGAACAACTGCTCCCTGAGACAGAACCCACTAACACTGATTGAACCAAGCTGCTCCAGGAGAAAACAGAGCCCAACAGCACCAATTCGACCAAGAACCCCTAGTGGACTAAGACTAACAATTAGAACAAGAGAGGCACCTTCAGACACAGACACTGCCTGCACCGAGCAGAGGAAGAGATGAGTAGATGCCAGTTCAAAAACACAGTAAACAACATAAAGACCTATATGACAACATCAGAACCCAGTGATTCTACACCTACAAGACCTGAACATACCAATGCAGAAGAAGCAGAAGAAATCAATCCTAAAAATGACTTTAAGAAGATGATAGACCCATGCCTTTAATCCCAGGACTCGGGAGACAGAGGCAGGCAGATCTCTGTGAGTTTGAGGCCAGCCTGGTCTACAAAGCGAGTTCCAGGAAAGGCACAAAGCTACACAGAGAAACCCTGTCTCGAAAAACCAAAAACCAAAAACAAAAAACAAAAAACAACCAGAAGTAAACTGGGCGTTGGTGGCGCACGCCTTTAATCCCAGAACACCTTTAATCCCAGCACTCGGGAGGCAGAGCCAGGTGGATCTCTGTGAGTTCGAGGCCAGCCTGGGCTACCAAGTGAGTTCCAGGAAAGGCGCAAAGCTACACAGAGAAACCCTTAAAGAGGAAATGAAAAACTCCCTTAAAGAGGAAATTAAAAATTCCCTTAAAGAAATGGAAGAAAAAAAACAAACAAAAAACTGGAAGAAGTCAAAGAAAGCCAAGAAAAAGTAATTAAACAGATGAAGGAAACAGTTCAATATTTGAAAATTGAAATCAAGACAATAAATAAGACACAAACTGATGGAATGCTAGAAATAGAAATCCTGACTAAATGAACAGGAACTACAGAAGCAAACATAACCAATCGAATGCAAGAGATGGAA